GTCACGAATGGTCTAACGATGCCCTGGAACTCGGTCCCGGTCGGAGCTCGCTCCCAACATTCCGTGCCAATCTTCGTTGTTCTCCGAGGTCTCCGAGAGGGGAAGGCTGGCCTGGCTAAATGGAAATCGGCGCCAGAGCTTGCACTTTCGGGCACGTCCGAACAGAATCGCGGATTCTCCAGCCTCCGAGAGAGAATCTGTTGAGTACTTGAGTTGAGTATTGTTGAGTACTGACATCTCCGTGTACAACCGGCTCAGGGACCCACTGTGAGCGAGCCGTCCGAGCCCTGCTATTCCAAGTCAGACAGATGCTCATCAGTTTTCATCCGAGTTCGCGGGAGTTCATTAGCCCGGATTCTTGGATGATTTCGGGACCCGAAGTTTTGAGGGCGTGCGACGGACTCCATCGAAACGGGAAATGTCTGGGGGTTCGAGAAACGATTGCCCGCTCCTACATGAGGATTCGCGAAAATTTAAGCATGTGGGTTGTGGGTCCCCACGCTGCGGACGTGCCCGGAAGTTTTGATCTCGGGAGATTTCGGTCCCGGTCGAGAGCTGCGGAAATAAATGATAACTCAGTCCGGTTTCAGATACTGTTGAGCTAGAAGCTGCGAATCGGATCCAACTGAAATGAATTGCCTACCGTAAAATATTCTGATAGACGGGCACCCCTTGCCGTCGACTTCGGAACCCTCTACAATCGCGTCCTTTTCAGCTGGCGGGTTCCTCCGATTTGCTCCCCGGACCTGAAGAATAGAATCAGAATATTTACGGTATATGTATGGTGCCTATCAATTAGCAGATTAAGGATCAACAAATGGTACCTTGGAATCCCTCGTAGATAAAGACGGAGTTCTGCGCTCATCTGGATACGAATGTTTTCTACTCGAATATGCGGAAACGGCGTTTGCTTCCATGAAAATTAGCATAGAGGTGACCCCGCTTCGACGCAATCAGCTTCGCCGATAATCTGAATAGTTCATGCTGATGTGGTGAATGGGATCAGCTTCCGGTTATGAAAGCGAGTCGGCGGGATCAAGGTCTCACACATAGAATACTTGGGTTTGATTGGAGCTTCAATTTGGACTCGATGCGCACCCCACCGCTCTGACGGAGATGCACCCCCATGAACAGATCGAGGGGCAGTCTCGACCCCAGATTCAGTCTCCAAAACGATTGCTCCCAAGACAAGTAGATACCGAGTTCCCCACGACAGACAGAGGCCGGACCTTCTCCGCGATCTATAACTCAAATGAGTACGAAAATCGCTTCAATTCTCATGACGAAACATGTTGCTCGATTTTATTATCATCTCCTATTTACAGCAGCGTTCGTTCGTTTCTTGATCCGTCGGATGATTGACCGATTCCGATCGTTTATTAGATTTATGTGACGATCTCCACGTTGGCGACAATCCCAATAGCATGATGACAAATGACAATGACATCTACAATAATAACATTCCCTCGAATAGCCATCCGTGTCTCCGTCATTGCGTTGGCGTAATTTCATCGGCTCTTCTGTCGGCGATAGTAGTTCCATTTGCTCACGTGGCGAAGAAACCTTCCTCCGACCAGCATTTTCCATCGGCAGTGGTCACCAAATTCCGATGGAGCTGTCAATAATCTTATTCCCTGGAGGCCCCGACATTACAATTCGATCGTTTCAAGTTCCGACCTCCCATGGGAAGCGCCGAGCCCTCTTGGAGCACAAGCCGCATCGTCAGGCGTCTCGAGACGAGAATCACGTTCAGAACACCGAATCCCCACGCGTCTCCAGTCCTCCTCCAGAACCAGTGTTCCGCATACACACGAGAGTTCCCATTCACAGTTCTGTCACGGTCCCTCGACAGACACGGCTTGGTGCTTCCATGAGTTCACTGCAAAGAGCGCTCACAAAATGATCGAAACATCGACGAAAGACGGATTTAGACAAAATCTAGCTACACTTATGTTTGTAATAGCAATCCTTATCGATAATAATAATCATAAGTATACTAGTGATCAGGCTACTAAATTGAAGAATCCGCAGGACGATACTCATCAACTGCGTCATCCCCATCAACCATTCGCTCGCGGAATTCGCTTTAATGTGAGTTATAGATTCGTGGCACTGCGGTTCCGCGCCGCGGACCACCGAGCTCGGCCGAGAAGGCAACTTGCATTCCATACCCTATCAGAAGTATTCTTATATTTCAGAATATAAGCGTCTCAATCAGTGTACAAGATCGTTGGATGAACAGTCGATCGATAGAACCGCCTCCTTCCGGCTAAGGCCAGAAGCCGACGACTGATCGATGATCTAAGGATCTCTTCACATGAGTTTCGAACGGAATCGATGATGAATCACACTAAATCGGACCCCGCTCAGTCAGTCAGAAATGATGGCTCGCTCCATGGAGTCGCCGCGACGAGAAAGCTCGCCCTCTGGAAACTGATCCCAGATTCGCCGCAAGCAATCAGAGCTTTCCCGGAAGTCGCGGTCCTGAGTCGTTTCTGCGTTTTTGTACGCGAGCCGGTGGAGAGTGACCCTCGACAAGTCTCCGCAATCTAATTCTCTCCAGGATTGGACAGCACAGCAGAGCGATTTCGATAGCTCCGGGAGCGTTACACTCATCTGCGACACTGGGCCTCGCCAAGATCGTTCTCTGCACAAACTTTTTGGCGGATAAGTTCTCTCCGATATGGAAAAATATATACTCATGAACTGAATGATTATAGATGATGTCGGGTGAACGATAGAGGTCCGGAGAAAGACGCAGCCCGACCACGTAATTGAGATCGATCCGCTTGGCGATTCAGCCAGAGTTCAAGAAGCGAGTTGCGAGTCGCCAGCAGGCGACTGTGCTCTCCTCCTTCGAGTGGATGAGAACGATAAAAGTCAGGCTTCCTCGCTGGGAATTGTTCTTCTCTCCAAGATCCGAAACTGAGACTTCGTGGGCTGCTCATCCGGACCGCAATCGTTCGTATCCTCAGACACGAATATATAGGTATAGGTAGATAAATATATATATCTATGTATATATATTCAGATATATTGCTAGAAATATCCATATAGGCTTATGATTATAGACAGGGCGAAACGAAATGTCCCGATTGGAGTTCCCGAAGAGTCTCGAGACCCATGCGGCCCTTTGGGCTTTCTTCGCGAGAAATGCGCGGGGATCGAGCGCTCTCCGGATTCTCGAGCCGTAGGAAAACTCGTTTCGGCTCAATTTCTGCTCGAGGTTGGGATGAAGCTCACCACAAGTCGCGAGTTTTTTTCAACGCTCCCACGATGGCCGGTGATGAGCTACGTCACCGGGGTTCGCCGACGACGGGACCTCCCAACGGCGGCGGCGACCTGCCATCGTGGTAGTGAATCTCTCGAGTTTTTCCATCTCTCAAGGGACTCCCGAGATTTTCACAAGAAATTCTCAGCGAACAAGTTCAGCGAATTGCCGTTTCCATGTGCGTAGTGTGAAGAGAGGGACATTGGTACGAACGACAGCGGATGCGTTTTCCGTCTACGCCGACGCGAAAATTCTCCCGAACCCCGAGGATGCTTGGGAGGAGTTCTAGGTTTTCGATTGCTAGCTTGTACGTTCCGATCGACTATCTCCCTCTATCCCTCTCTTCGCCGGAATCGTTTGCTTACCTCTTCTTTCAAAAGTCGACGCTTACTTACATAGATCCGATTTTAACGAGCCAACGATTATCTCGGTTGAAATCTGACCATTTCATTAAAGAACATCCCCTCGTGGTACGTCAGCTTTCAATTGTGACGAAATTTCTCCTACCGAACGTTTCCTGAACACGGTACGTGTGTCCACAACTCTCTAAGGCACCCCACCGCTGCTGTTCGTAGAAAAATTTCCTCACTCACTGAAACTTCCAGTTACAACATCGCGACCATGAAGATTCTCCGCTAGAACACGAGCTAGGATTCATGGAAGGGCCAACGAATGTAATCATAGATCGAATCAGAGAGAGACCACTATCTCTTCTGTGTGATGAAGCAGTGGAAGGGGACCGATAGAACGACTGGCTTGTTGGCTCCGAAGGACTTTCTACAAGCTGTCTCGAGAGGTCTATGATACACTCCGCTACAACGACCATACATCTCTAGCTCTACTCAGATCGATTTCAGCCACGGCTGCGAGCAGGGTCGGTAGCCCCACAGGACTGAACTTCCACTTCACAGGCGTGAACTTCCTCATTTATGCATCGATCGGAATTCCTTGCGGTTCATACGCGATTCGTATTGATTAAACCACATTCAGATTCACGAAATTTCAGCTACATTAATGTCTAATGTTTGTGCAGGAATTGTGGGTTTTAGTTCGCCCATTGCCGCAACCGCCGCGGGCCGCAATCTCGTTCGGCTGCACCCGAGCCTGTACAGTACGATACACTATGCTCTTCTCGTATGTATGATGAATGTTATATGTAAAAGTAGGTCGCTATGTATGTATATATGCATGTGTGTATATAAGTATATATATATATATATATTTATATCTATAGGTTTGATAAGCGCAACAATGACCACCTAGTCGATTCCCCTCGCAGCCATTATCGGTCCCTAACTCTTCGTTCCCTCTCTGATTTAAGCGCGATCTTCCATTGAGTTTTCGGAGTGAGTCCGCCGGAGCGATCGGCTCGAACGGCTTCCACTCGTAACCATTTACAAACTTTCGTAGATGTCTGTATATATGATGATGATCCAATTTGCAGGTATGTATATATGTATATACCGAAAATTGATCATACAATATGCATAGCGTCCGCGAGTCCGCGGAAGACCAGCTCCAGACGTCATTTCCACTTACGACACGCTTCCTCCGCGTCCTCGTGCGAGGATAGTTCACCCTGGAACGATTCTTGAACAGCCATTGACGAAGACTCGGGCTACTCATATTCTCGCCCGCGTCACCGTGACGCCCCGTTCACTCGTTCCACGCGAGGCACTTGACGCTCAAGAGCTCGCACCTTGGTCGAATCAATGCGGAGGCTCTCCCATTACGATGCCCATTCCCGCTCGGGATCGTAGGCCTCCTCGTCGCCGCCCCCGTCCCCTTCCGCGGCCAAACCTGGCAGCGTTGGATGTGAGCTTCTTTCCGAGAGGAGCGGGACGTCGTTGTTCAAATGAGATATTTTCTGAGCAAAGGCTTTCTCGGCTTCAGCGATGGTATTCTTTATGTCTCCTCGCGGGTTGGTTTTATTCACCGGCGTCGGATGGTATTGCACCGAGGAAACCGAAGACCGCGTTTCGCGCCTGCAACGAAGCACGGCTCAGTCCCAGGGGATTTTTTGATTACTCCTACAGCGCCGCTACTGTCATCTCATTCATCGTGCTCATCATTCTAGACATGAATGGTCCACCAAAATAGTTTTTCTAAACGCCGCCGCAGACTCACCTCTGACAGACTGCCTTGTGACAGATCACGATGCCAAGGAGACAGCATGCTGGGCATTCCCCGATTTCATCCTTGTACGGGAACCACTCTGGAGGGCGCTCGCCAGGATTCAACGGCACCAGATAGAAATCCTTTGGGGACGGGAATTCAATCTAATTTTTAGCCACTGATTTCCGCATGGAATCATCGCGTTCGACCTTCATCGTGTTTTTTCTCGTACCTTGACCCTGGTTTGTTTCAGCTCCTGAACGACTCCGAGACGCCCTCTCGCCTTGAGCCGACGGCAAATTTCCTCGAGTTCCACAGCGTTGGCCGGAAGCTCGGGCTGAGCTTCGACTTTCACGACCACAATATCTTTGTTTGCGTGCTTCAATCTGAAAGAACGAAATTCCTCGCTCAAAATCCAGCTCCCCACCGATCGTCTGGTAGCTCCCGCCCGAAGGAAACGCGAACACTCACCTTCTCAGATAATCGCTGACACCAGCAGGTTGAATTTTTCCGCAAATGTCGACGGTGTCTGGCAGATCCACCTCAAAACTATTGACGATCCCCCCGGCGTGGCGGAACGTGGCGACGAATTTGAACGTTTCCATTTTGATGAGACCCGTCCAAGTGACTTCCGAATTATCAGGCTCGGGTGAATCATTGCTCGGTGCGGTAGCCTTCTCCTTGGCGAAGAGTTGTCCGATTTCCGCGTCGGATTGACTCCTGTTCATAGCCTTAACCTTGGAAGTAAAGTGTTGATGAGTTTCCATTCCTGGATTAAACCTAGAGCGTTCAGGAGGTGCTACCTGACAGCGGAGGTCGTCGGCTGGCAGTTGTAGATACTCACTCTATCGATGATCATCTGCGCTTTATCGAGCGACCGGGAATCTACGGGCTTCGAATCCCAATCCTTATCGGTGGGCGCTTTGGCATCTTTATCGGAGTTGGCTTTCTTATCTACTTTTGTTCCTCTCGGGAGCGATCTCCTTTCCCTCTCGGGCGTCGTCTCGGCTCCCGCCGAGGATTTCCTGTCTTTGCTTTCCGAGTTTTTCTTCTCATGGGTTGAAGACGATCTCCTCTCCTTATCGTTATTCTTCTTGTCCTCATCCTTGTCAGCGGTGGACCGTCTCCGATCCTTATCTTTCTTATTGTCCTTCGGAGAAACTTTCTCGTTGCCATGATCTTCATCATTCTTTTCGCTGCCGATTCCAACTCCGGTGTCGCCGCTCTTCTCCGAGACGTCGACCGTTGTCTGCGCGAGAGAATCGAGTCGTTGATTATACTTCACGGGAAACCAAGACTCCGAGGAAGTTAGACGGTGTCGGGAATTACGCGGAATTATATGGAGTGTTATACCAAATCGTGACCAAGCCGAGGGAGACTGTCGTACCTTCCGTGTCTTCCTGCCAGTCGGTGTTATCGGAGACGAACTGCTGCCGGCATGACTTCTGGTGGTCCGTGTCGTCCTTTGTTTTTCCGGTGGAGTCGACTCCCCCTTGGAATCACTTTCGGGCTCAGCACTCTTCCCTTTCTGGCGAGGCTTCTCAGCAAGCAGCTTGAGAGTGTCCTGGGCAGGATTATATCAATCAGAGACCGTTGAAATATAGGTCGAAATGTTCGTCTCATCCCACTCGGGCCATAAGTGCCTTTTAAATGCCATAAGTGCCCATACCTTATCAGTGACATTCATAGCAGCTTCCTTCTTGTAGAGCTCCAAGTTGTGCTGAGCCTCGCGTTCTCTCCAGCGTGCCATTTCGATACTAAGCTCGTTGGCACCCATTTTCACCAGCTGATTCGGCCCTATCTCTCCATTGACGATTCTGCGCCACAGCAGGTCGTTCTTGGCATCTTTGATGTTGAAGCTCAGCGACCGGAATCTGTGAGAGATCAGGACCGTCAGAATTTCTGCTCCCTCGAGAAGTATCCGAAGCTTTGTGATTCACCCTCCATCTATCCACCGTTGGTATCTCGCATTCATGATGCCTGCTGTCTACACTGGTGCCGCTATGCGGCAGACTGGGACACGACGGAAGAACATTTGGTAACTCACTTGTTCCTGTAGTTTTTGCCGCCCCCTCCACAAGTGGTCCACAGAGCGTTTTCGATGGATTTGGCCAAGGATTCAACTCGGTTAGCTTTCGAGGCGTAGGCCGAGTCTGTCTGACACCGATCCTTGAGGTTCCGCAGCAGACCATTGACTACCGTTTGACGCATTCCCGCCTCGTGGCGCTGAAATATTATGGAAGGTCAGATTTTCCGGAAATTTTTCCAGGCGAAATGTAGCATGAGACCTGGAAATATGCCCTGTACCGATTCCCAAACATTTAGGCTAGCAGGACGCCGAAGGACAAGTCAAGCCGGGCCGGGTTCAATGACCTCTTAAGCCCCGTGTCGATCGAGAGAAGAGCGGAACACTTTCGTAACTTTTCGATTTTCGGAGCTACGACTACAGAAGAGACCGTAGAGTATGTCCGTATTGTATCCATCGTCGCAAAACTCTTGGCATGGGGCGGATCCGCAAGGCGGTGGGGGCAATCGAAGTCGGCACTCCGCCGATCGAGGGAGGCATACTGCTGAAAAACTGGCACCAACCTGGTCCTTGTCCTTCAAGTCTGGAGCGGGCGATACTCCGTTGTTATCCGTCGCTGCAGAGCTTCGTCTGCGCACCGGTTGCGGTTTCGGTGGAGATTTCCTTGCAACGACCTATTAAAGAAACTCCGTCGATGAAATCCGTGTTTCGGCCGCGGGTTGACGAATGCAATCACCATCACTCGCTAGCCTACCTTCGGAGATTTCTGTTGCTCCTGGATTTTACGCGGAGAAGCGATGTGTGGACTCCCGTTACCGGTGAAGCCTATTCTCGCGGAAACTTCTGAGCCCTTCGTCTTGAGCTTCGCATCGAAGTCTCTGTTGATCTGCGGCGGGGCACCCGTCACCGGCTGCTTGGGAACGGGCCGTCGGATAGCGCTCGCTTGGTTGGGATTGATTTGGAAGGTGGGTTTCTTGCAGAGCCAATCGATTGTGCCGTTGACAGCCGCGTTGACCAAGTTTATGGCTTTTCCGGTGGAAATCTCGACCATCGAGACGCGCACCTGAGGAGAATGGCTACATTGAATCCTTCCGAATTTTTTTCGATGACGTGCGGAGCTTCTCTGTCGCGAAAAGATAATCTCCGACTGAAGACTTCCTGACGAACTCACCTCGAGCCCTTCTCTCTCAGCCCGTTCCATGATGGCAGGTAGATATTTATTAACGTGACGTGTGATGCACTCCTTGTTGCAGAAACGATGCGTCGGCTCAGATCCGACCACCTATAATCGGGTGGGCGATTTATATTCGGGCTCCGAAATTCGGTTCAGGCAGGATCACATTGAATGTAGTCCGAGAAGAATTCGGAGTCATCGACTGAACGAGAACTGACCTGCTTGCACTGCGCGCACTGACCAAGAACCGTGTAGTTGCCTACCATGACGGCCGGCATATTTGGAGACACAGAGTCAATCAGTGGTACACTGAGGTTAGTTTGAGCAGCAGATTGAGGCGGCGGAGCTGCAACGCCGTTCTTCTTCCGTCTGAAAATGCGCCGCCTTCAGTTTCCCCACGACCTGACTAGATACGCATAGACACCAGAACACGGAGGGACTCTGGATTCTACTCCTGGTGGTTCAGCGGAAGATCTGTGCTGGCGACCGGAAGCATCATATACTCACTTGCAGTTGTTGCAATACCAATCTAGTTTGGCTTTCTCCATCCGAGCACCTTCCGCCTTCGAAACTCCGACGCACTTGCCGTGGAACCAGTTCTCGCACGAGTCACACGCGATCATGAACTGATTATTGTGGGGTTTTCGACAGATGCACCTGGAAAATCGCATACAGTTCATCATTTTTCCCCGTCGGCCGAAACTACCGGGATTCCCCTGAGTCTTAGGCAGCTGACTGCCCTATGGGTCACCGTCGTAGGAAATCGGAGGCCCTCGGCCCAGCTGAGAATACGTACCAGGGTTTCTCTGGATCGTTATCGGAGTTCCATTCTTCGTCGTCTGGAACGTCATCCGGATGCTCGCCGTCGGAGGAATCCAATGGAGCATCGACAACGTTCAGCCGGTCGCGTTTTGCGGGATGCGGAGTCGGCGGATTCGATGCTTGACTTCTTCGTTTGTTAGCAGTGTTGGTAGCGTTAGTGGTGTTGGCTTTGGTGGGTGCTGTTGAGGGCTGAGGCTGTTGAGTTGTGTTCACTGGCGCTTTCTGCTTCGTGACCGGAGCTTCGTCCTCACTCTCATCGCTTACGTAGTCCTCAATGTTCTTGCCCATCTGTCGCTTGCGTTCGAGATTTCGCTGGAACTTCTCTTTTGACTTGCGAGAAGGTCGCGCACTCGACACTTCGTTAAGCGCAGGTTTCGCCATGACGGCGGGAGGAACCTCGAAAGGCGTCTCCAAGTCGCTTCGTTTGAAATCTGCCAATTCCCCACTCGAAGAAAGACGTGCCACGGCTGCATTGACTACGTCGAGTTGCTGGGGCGTTAAAGCGCTCTCGAGGGTCGCTACTTCTTTAACCTCTTCCTTGACAACGTCTTCTTTCGGAACGCAATCCTTGTTGAGAATCGTCGCGGGGGCTTCCCGGACGGCCACGCGGGCTTTCTTCGGTGGACTGACAGGTTTCGGTGTCGAGGGCTCAGAGCGTTCCGAGATCCTCTTGGTTCGTTTCGGCATCGTTCTAGACCTCGCGCTCTCAGGCGATTGATTCGGCTGTCGGTTGCCTGGTATCGCGTAGCTATGCTCGGTCAGTACAATCTGAAACAAGATAAGGTTCGGCCTCAAACGCTCGGCCCCCAGCTATCTTTCCGTCTCTTCCGCAAAATCCAACAGGAACAAACCTGCAAGGGTGCGCCTTGGAAATCCGGGGCGGAGTTCGCGTCCTCTTGGCCGAAAAGTTGTTGGTCCAATACCTGCTGGTCCAAAACCTGTGTGTCGAGTTCCTGCTGATCCAAGTCCTGTTGATCTAACACTTGCTGGTCTATCTCCTGCGAGAACCACGAAACATTAAGGTGGTCAGTTGGCTACGGTCTTCAACGGCGAAGAGCTCGCGGCTTTCACGCCTTCGACAAATGGGGCGATATCTTACCAAGGAGTCCAAGTCGTGAAGGTTTTCGAGCGCGGTCGCCGAGACTCCAGAGAGCATCTCGTCGATTTCCTGAGCTGCTTCCTCACTCCCTTGGACTGGGGCACCGACCAATGCTCCCTCAAAAGGTACACCGGCAGTAGCATCTTTAACGGCACCTCCCCCATCGGCGAAGAAGCTACGCCGATCTGTCATAACGATGGCAGCTTCGATGGATATTATCTATAATGAATTTTTCTCGATGAGCGCTCATCGTTCGTCGAGATGGTCCGCGTCTCGCGCGGCGTCAAGACATGAAAAGTTTCCCATGCCGCTCATAGCTGGCGAGGAGACAGGGCCGAGAGAAATTCGATCTACCCAACAGATAGGATCAATTTTCCTCCACGGACCCATCGGTTTGTTCTGAATGTCTGATTCGAGCAGCCCGGAGTTTCTCGACATGCCCGGTCGGAGCTGTCGTTGCGAACAAAAGTGAAGTTACCCGGCCGCACTTCGGATCGAATGTGATGCGACGAAACGGAAAGTGGCTTTCGATTTCAAAGCAATGTTCCAACTCGGTGAACATCGGGGCGCATAGGTCGCAATATATTTGCCCTGCGTGCTGATCGGAGCTACTCACTTGTGAGGGGAAGCCACTACATGATAGGTCCTTTCCGAACTGGAAGTTCCTCGGCGCCTAGAAAAAATTGTAACGACGATAAACGATAAGGAACGCTCAAACAGGTTTGAGATGACTGCCGCTTATCGCTACGCGCGAAACTGGTCGTAGCTTCACAGGACGCCTTTCATGCGTCCGCATAGTGAGTTGCAACAGAGAATCTCCGGAAAGAAGACTGATGAGCGATCGAGCCGTAGACCGCATATGGGAGCGTATGGAACGCTCTCGAGTTCCAGGAGTCAGCTACTATGCATGACGTCCGCCCCCATCCTCAGACTAACGGTTCACGCCCGGAGCATTCGCTCGCCTTCGTCAAGTTTGATCCACCGCGAAAGCATTCTGCCAAGAGCTTAACGGATGGGAAGCCTGGAATCGAACTCCGTTTCCCTCTCGGAGTCCGCCTGCTCCTCTCGCGGAGTGGAACATCACTCGACGGAAGACCGCCGCAGTGGAAGTTTTGCGCGCCCATTCCGTTGGTTCGGCCGACAGTTCCATCGGATGTTTCTAGTGACGGTAAGCTTTTCCATGAGACTTCCCCGTCCCATCAGGGAACTTATCAGCTCGACTGAGAGACTTGGAGGCACGCATCGATTCGATTGGCGCCATCGCGGACTCTATTGCGCTCTCGCTTGTCCGGAGAAAGCCTGGTGAGCGGACCAAGTTGGACGGAATAGTCACTTCCAAGTCCAACTAGAGACCAGAATCTCGCGGAGCTTCATGCTTTCCTCCGCATTAGTCTCTTTAACTCACCTGTCAGAGGCGCTCTGGAAATGTTGATAGATCGTTTCGCTCTCTATGTCCGGCGTATCTAGGGTTCTACTGCCCAATCAGTTCATTGCGGACGCACTCTGAATCCCAGTTGTCCTTTTGCGTCGAATGCTGACTTTCACAGAGTTTACCAGGCACACGCCGCCAAAATTATTACCGACTTCACTAGTGGCCGTAGGAGAAGAGAAGAAGAAACACACAACAGTCCGCCATGATGTTTTTAGGTTGCCAGCAGCGAAATGCCGTCTCGTAATACACACAGTCGAGTCCGGCGGCGGAGTCCAACTGGAAGTGGCGCGTCGACGCTCTGGGGAAGCTTGGCGCCTTCCGAGAGCAACTTAGACGTATAGAAAGGCTCGGACCCCCTGGAAATGACGTAGCGAGGTGGCGCATCGCGCGTAATGACGTAGATTCCGGGCGGAACGGGCATAATTACGAGATTTTATGAAAGTCCCGGTCGAAGCGGGGAGTGTCACCGCCAAACGCCCGCTGAATTGGCGGGTGCCGAGACTGTTTGAACCAAGTTTGAATCGAGTGGCGCAGACTCCCATGGTGGCACACTCCTTACGGTAACCTTCTTCCTTTTTCCGAGGCGACTTCCGGAAACGCCTGCTCGACTCATGACCCCCTCAAACACTTGATCTCATCAAAAGCTCTCTGACAAGGCGATCGGGAGTCTAGTTCGAAACTCTCCATGCTGTACTACCCATTGCGTCGGTTTGGCGCTATTTTCCTATAAGGACAAAGTCCCTAGACTAGGGAAGAGCCGCCGAAACATTGTCCCATGTCCCATCACACCGTTATGTTCCGCCATGGATCGAATCATTCATAAATCGTACCTCGTTGCGAACACTCACATGGCTTTAATAGGGCCGATATACTCTCGAGATTCCCGAAAATTCCGCGGAATCTGATCCGGGGACTGCCATCTTACTCCCTGGGAGAATCTGCGCCGCTTGATAGGGGAGAAGCTCTCTCAGGGAGCTCTGGAGGCTTGGTTTCGGGTCGCAATCTATCTGTCAGGATAGATGCGCATTCGAATAAAGTGGTGACAGGTGACGCCCTGAGATTCAGGGTAGAGAACCGGTTCCGGGCAGCCCATAGGCCCGAATACCCATCAGCCCGACTGCTCAACTCGTATGCTCTCTCATGGAGTCTCGCTGAATTGGAGTAAAGATTTGAAGTGATAGACATGCATGATAGACGACCCGCAGGAGTGAATTAGCGCCGTGGGAAGCGGACATGTCACGTTTTTTTTTGCTCTCGGCGTCTCTCGCATGAAACACCCGGGAGGACATGAAAATTGAGACTACGTGCGGACAAGCTGACCGTGGTTCGCTCAGACTGTTTGCTCCTCTACATGTGGGTCGATTCCTCCCATGCGAAACCCTTCGAGAAACCCGGAACATTGAGTCCTACGTGGATAAGTTAACACTTGACCGATTCAGACGGAATATCGCAAAAAGCGCCTCTCGTTCCGAGCTTTCGGGCTGAGGGAGAATCACCGCAATCGGATGAAAATTGGCTGAAGTTGGACCCATCGGCGTGGCCGTTCGAAAGCATGAGACGGGAGACCTTGATTCTTCATCTCTCAATGGATGGTATAACCTTTGGAGCTTCGCAGCTCTAAAATAGTTCAAGAATGTTTCGATGAGGAATCCAATTAGTACCATCTGGTCCGGCAACTCGGTACATCAAAAGGGAATATATTCTTCAGAGAACAGATAATGTAATTCGCGGTGATTTCGGAATCTTGGAAGGATAAGTCACGACGACTTCGCCGACCCCGATATCGGTGTCTGGCAGTGATTCGTGGTCATCCATGATCATGATCATCCCCGAATAGCGGCAAGCAGTTGATGAATGATGGTTTTCGCGCCTCCAAAGCTCTAGTAGTCCTCTCAAGAGACCAGAAGCCGAAGGCTGCATTTTGGCCGTGAGATCTCGCGAAGAGCCGAGAGATGTCTCGATTTCTATGGGACCTGTTTTCTTTGATGACGGACCGCAAAAAGCGAGTTTGTTGCACCATGATCTTTGTCGCGAATCCATCGGCATTTATTCACGATAACCTTCGCAATTGGACTAGAATGGAATGTACACACAACGCACTGATGCAGTTGCTATTTCGGATCATCATAATTCGTGTATATAAATATCATAAAACCAGTGTCAGAATTGCGATGTCATGCGTAAAATCTGATACTGGAAATCCGGTCCTCTACGTGACACGATTCAGTGTGTCGCCGCCGTGAGCGGGATCCCGTCGTAAACGGAGATTCGTGGCAGAGTTTTTCCTCTCTGCCCTTCCATTCCTGCTGTGCTGAGGGATTTCTCATCCGGAAGCCGAACCTTGCCCCCAATGTTCGAGAATTTTTAATCGTATAAGGGCTCATCTCTCTTCACAGGGACGACAGAATCAGAAGGGGGGGGGGGGCGAAATGAGCGACCCATCGGGATTCAAGACTCCGTTCGGTGAGAGAAGAGCTGTTTTCCTGGACAGGGAGCCAGATATTCATCTTTCTTGACAGCCGAGCTGAGGTTGCGCACAGTGATATGCAAGGGTTCCCCATATTTTCGATAGATAGAACTCCAATATTTTCCTACCTAATATGTCACTCGGGTTTAGGATTTGATTAAACTGTCGATAGCGGTTGCTCAAAGTTCAGAGCCTCGATGCACGAAACGAATCACTGTCACTTTGACCGCCTAGCTTGAGTCAAAACGAGTCACTCTAACAATAGCCCTATAATGATTAACGATGGCTTTTTTTGGGGAAGTCGGGGAACTACGTCATCGACTACGGATTGTGCACGGCGATTTCTAGGAGCTACGTGGTCCCCGACCGGTTCGAACACGCTACAAATCGATGAGCTGACCAGGACATTGTGCTATGAGTTTCGGTTCGTTGAACACCTGCAGCGGACATGAGCTCGATTTAATTCCCAATTTAATCGGAATCGCGATCCCTGGGGCCCGTGGGAGAATCGGACAAGTCCGTCACCCTACGAACCTCTTGAATCTTCAAGGCGTATCTCGTGTGCAGCTCGTCGAACGTGGTCGGCATTCTGGTCGCCTGTTGAGCGGCTGTGGTTGACACATAATTGAAAGGATTGAAATCTAAGCTCGCCGAGGGCGGTTGTCTCGGCGGTGAGGACTTCTTACGAGGTGGCGCCTGTTTGAGGACCGTTCTGTTAGTGCTTGATTAGGTGACATCCGCCCGATCAGCGGGCTTCCCGTCGCTGACTCTGACCGAATCGGTCCAACAAATGAAAAGGTTCCAGAGAAGCAACACGAGGGAGCTACATGGGATATGTCCTTGAGATGAGTCATTCATTCCGGGGACTGAAAGTAGGAGGCATAAATTCACCTGCGGAGGTGGCGTCACAGCTGGACTCAAGGACAACGAAGAGATCTTCCCCGTCGGCGCGCTCGACTGCGTAGTGGACCGAATCTCGTCGATTTGCCTGGAACAGGTGAGCAGTTGAGGATGGGGATTCTGTCTCAGAAGCTCGATTCGACCGCGGGAATCCACATGAGGAGTTCTCATCTACAGATCTTATGATTGAGAACCCCGAACTCGAGGAGCTTCTTATGAAGTACCTTTGCAGTTCGGCTACAGTGTTGCGTAAGAAGTCGTAATTCGCGCAAGACAACGCCTTCATCCAGCCTTCCATATCATCCTGGAAAAATGGAGAGCATCGCTTATAGTCCGAGTACGAGGATAGTCGGGAGAACATTCCGAGAAAGCTCCGGAGAACATTCTGTATCGCGGGCAGGGTTGTGAATGTTCGGATCCCCCACATGTTTGCATCGCGTAAAATATTATTACGGTCTCTTACTCCACCGACCTGGGAGTTTGCAGCCATCGTGTAAATTCTCGCACCAGGTCCATGGAAGATGACAAGGAAGGCATACCTGTATCAGGAAGCTCAATTGAAATCATTACCATGACGACGCCGTGGTCTCGGGGCATCGTTCCAGGAGATTCGGCAAAACGGTGCGCGTACCTTTCAGTCTCGGAGCACTCCGCCAACTCGATGCTACAACCTTCGAGCACTATGAGGCCCACAGGCTCCCGGTCGGGTTTTTCAAAGTAAAACAACATGTTTCCACGGAGGACGAACCACCTGCCGAAATCGGATTCGCGGATTAGAACATTGTTGTTTCTGGTTCGTGAGCCGGGAGCTGTACATGGATTATCAGCGGGAATGCAGGAGAATACTGAAGCGACGGGTCAAGCGAAATAGACTGCCAGATCCCGAGCCGAGTCAGCTGTCTGATTGTTTCGCGTGAATGAATGAAGCGACAGCGTCTCGAAATTTCAACCTCCAACACCGCGCAGGTTGCTGTGCTATGAGAAGGGAAGCGCTTCCTGAACAAACCTTTTCTGGAAATTCTTGTTCACCTCTCCTCGTTTTAGAAGCCATCCCTGTCGATCCGCTGGCGTTTTCGAAGTCGCTATTGAAACCAATTGTTTGAGATAGATCTTCATATCGAGGCGCTCCTCTCCGATCTCCGATGAGCTCTGTCGGAAAATGGAAGCGTCGAGATATGAGTTCAAGAAAAGCGGAGTATCCGTCGAATGTTAACAGGATCCGCGTATCGAGTATCGTTCGCGACATTCTTCGGCCGGCGTCCCAAGCGGACACGCTGAAAATCTCCAACCCGCATCCAGAGGGAGGTTGAGGAAATCAGGCGTGAAAATCTCTTTTCCCTACGAAGCAGAGCCTCATTGATCAGATTTCAGATCCTCAAGATTGTTCGAACACGCAACGCGCTCAAATTTCTTGGCGATAGAGTCGATATGAGACGAGTGACTCCTCCGTTGGAATGACGCGTGAATCTCCACGTTACCCGGCCCAAGTAAATCCACGTAATACGCTCGGCGAGCGATCCCTAACGCCCAAGTTCTCGTTGTCACAGACTGACCGTGTCTCCGTGTATGCCCTATGAGACCGCATTCAGTCGCATTCAATATACTGTCGATTCGACGCATCCCGCGATGAACAATCGCCGAACGCACTATGACTACGTCAAGGACGCGGCAGCGACGGGATCGATTGCTCGGATCAGGAGTCATAATTGCGGAGCCTGCGTCGATCACTGGATCATAGATAGCCACCGTCCCAGAGACCCTCACCGTCCGTTTTAGATTCACTCAGACTGACAATGAGTACACCGAAATTCTCTCAAAATACCGAAGCAGAGAAGAGCCCTTCGACTTAAGAGCTGGACGGAGCTCCGGGTACTGTTCAGGCCAAAATTGTTCCGAATGACTAGAATCTCATCTCGCTAGTATAGGAATGTACGATCAGACGATTCTCGGTGCCGAAGAGTTTCTCACGCACGACATCGAAGACCGTCTCTCACTGAAAACTCCTCTTGAAATGAGACAGATTAAGACTCGCCTGGAAATTGTGACGCCGGTCGATGGATCCGATTTTTCCTCTATGGAATGAATGCTCCCACGGTCGATCCCATGCTGTCTTCGGGATGGAGTTTGACTCTTCTTGCGGTCAGAACTTCAAGCGTGTGGAGCAGAAACGCACCAGCACCGTGGCTTCTCCTTCGAATGGACAGCAGAATCAAATCAACCGATGATTCGAATATCCATCCGCTCCCCGTTGTTTGCCTCGAGTCTCCTCATGTAATCGACACCCTCGCACACGCATAAACCACTGCAATCATCTCACGTAAAGAGAGAGAGGTGGACTCATGGGCGCCGCCATTTTGGATCGAGAATTCCCGTATAGTCGGGAAAAGCAGTATTCCGCCATCGATTCTCTTCCCTCAGAATGTCATCCGGGAACTCTCAGCAGGTCGGCTTTTCAAGGTCGCTCATTTCGTGAATGACGTCTTCGTTCTCGGTGAGTGACATATGAAGTAAACAACGAGCACCCAAGGGAGAGAAATGACAGGTTTTTGAATTCCCGCGCCAAACCAACCCGAATGTCTAGACTAGACTGGCATTGCGCAACAATGTTTTGTTTCTCAGAAACCCCTGGCAGGCAATGTCCCCGGCAACCGAGGTCGGGTCGTTGAGATTCTCTTCCGGCCCTCTGGACAGCCGTTCCAGGGCTTGAAGACATTGAACGGCCTCCGGGAGAAAATCTGCTGAGGTTGCCGCGACCAAGTTTCGCCTGAAAATCGAAGAGAGGCAAACGGGTTGACGTTTACCAACAAGAGCAGCAGTGTTGTAGTGTGTGTTGTCGTCAGTCGTCATCGCCGCCGCGCCGCCATCGCTGCTGTGTGCGGTATTCGCCGAGCTGCTGTCGGAGACACTACCGCCGCACCACCACACAAGCATCAGCTTTCGGTGTCTGTCGTCCGGAACAAGCGGAAAGTCATCGGCACGTCATTTCACGATTGAACGTGCATTTCAGCCGCACGTAGATAAAGACTTTCGGTGACCATCGGAAAGTGCGCGTTGGGACTCTTCTGTCACAGAGACGTTCCACATTTCTGTAAAGGTACGAGGGGTCTTGACGTTGACGTCAAATGTATCAACATGCACCTGCTCTTCTAGCTTGGGTGGTGCTCAGGAGTATCGACACGGTCTGGCTCCTCGGGGGTGGCTACGTGGGATCGTATTTTGAAATATCGTCTCACCGAAGTGGGATTGTTGCCCTGACAGGACTGTCACAGTTCAGTCTGAAATGAATGAGAATTATTGCCGCAGAACTATCATTTCTCAGTCCAAGAGGATCGCGACAAAAGGGCGCGCCTCCGATATCTATCCTCGTGTATTGAAGTTTCCAAGGAGACACTCCCTGATATAGTAATGACAGTCCTTGAGCTTCGGAGAATTCTTGTTTTTTGTCCGAAAGAGTAGAGCCTCATTTTCCCCTCAGATCGAGTCAAGTCCCATGTGGAACTGCTGAGCGCATCCTGAACTTGATTCGGTGATATATCGTGAATAATGTCCGCGCAGTACCGACCGTACCGGGATGAAGAGGATGTGCCGCCGGAGGTGAGTTCGATTGGCTTATGATACATTCTGTACGCAAGACTTGGGTCTCGCGTTGAATTGGAACCACTCGGAAATTCCGAGTTCATCTTTAATATCAAATGTTGCGGAAATCCAATAAATTCGCTTAGACGATATTCATCCATGGACTATCGAGAGCCAAATCGGCTAGAGGTTTCGCCGCGAGAAATTCCTTATTGGTCCAAACGAGGAAGAACTCCATTGGAGGGATAAGGGATCCATGAGCAGTCAGTGAGCCGACTTAAGTCTTCTGTGATTTCTGTTGGCCGCAACTCAGCGGCGCACGCTGGATAGGAGTCTGATTTCCTGCCCGTCGACAGGAAAATCTATTCCGATGAAGCCACCGATTAAGGTCTCCGCGGAGTTGACAACTCGCCAAAAGATGAATGACGCTCTTTGTATCGATTCAAGTTTCCAGTTTGAGGGAATCATGAGTGGGAACTCTGATGAATAAGTGGCGATTCAGAGACTGTGTCCGGACCCTTTTATAACATCTGTTGTTCATTGTTGATGGATGGGTATGCTAGCATCAAAGTGTTTTGCCGCCGCTAGCCATCGTCTTCGTGCTATTTTTCATAGCCGCATGACGAAACGTCGTTCGAGAAATCAGATCCCTCCCAGATTTATTGCTTGAAACCGCATCGCTTTCCGATAATTGACTCCAGGTCGGGTTACCGCGGTCAGTTGGATGTGTCATCCGCTACTGATACCTAAGGCTCAATGGTCTCAGGTCTCGATTGCGATTAGAGGTGGTGCTCTCGAAGATAGTTAGAGGAGACCATCGGAGCTGCGCGAGTCCATTCATTCTTCGCGTGTCTGGCAGAGATCGTGTCTGCTCGGATTTCTCGAGCGGGGTTCGATTTCGAGAGCTCCAAACAATCACCGAGAAATACAGACAGTGTGAAAGAACCCGACAAATATGAATCGATACTCGACAGATGACACTCAGAGCATCCCGGGAACCCCGGAGGACTGAGCAATTATGGGTCGACTGGGCGGGCTATGCTGATCGTGTTCGCGATTAAGGTTCTCGAATCGATCGACGACCGAAGTTCCGAACTGTTGATCGGTCGCTCATTCCCTATCGCCGGCTCGATTACGCTCTCATTCTGGGAAGGAGATTCGACCACGGGATCTTCAGTATTGAAAAGGAGTCGATCTCACTGATGATTACCGGCGTGAAAGGTAGCGCCTTCAGGCTGCTCTATTCATCGACCATCCCAACTGGAGTCCAACAGTGCTCGGTCCTCCAGTGTTCGATGCTCCTGTTCGATCAGCGAGAAGGGATTCCAGATTCCCAAACATTTGGGTGAAAGCTTTCCTCATCGAATCAGGGATATCATCCCTAAGAACTTATCATCCCTTACCTTGACCCAATGCTGAAATCAATCGTAGATGGATATTTCTCTGCCAGGTTTACATGAGGCTTCATAATGACGATGATGAGGCTGATAGGGCATCTCAAACGAAACGGAGACCGGACGCGATTCCCTTCTCTTACTTCACTCGGTAGTCGAACTGTCACAATACTCGGGAAACGGAACGCGTAAGAGGGGGAATGGAAGTTTGCGTACCTGCGCCGATGAGGCTGATCACGAGGATGAAAAAGCATAGGAACCGCATCTCTACGATTTCAGTCGGGCTTCTGACTTCTGATGAGAACGCCGGAAGTAAGACTACGCCTCGACCTCCGGTTGAAACAAAGGCTCAGGAATAAAATTGTTCAGGCACGGGTGGTTCGAAGGGAATAAGCGGGCGCCGCTTCCCAATCTTGAATTCAAGTCAAGATTCTCAGAGCTCTCGTTTTAAAGACTCGTTGCATTTTTCTTGTCGGAATTCTAGTGGATTGATTGATTCAACAGAAGAGCTCAACGCATAAGTTCCTGATCGTGGAAAGCGAGTGACTCGTCAGATTTCGCTCGGAGTTTGCGGGAGGAGATGTTGTTTTCCGGAGAATTTTCTTTCGAGAACTATGATATGTCTCCGTGAGCTATATTCACTCCATCGGAAGAAGTTTGCCGCGGTCATCAGCGAATACTCGGCTCCTCAGCGGGGCACTTCCGGAACAATACCGGCTGTTCACAATGACTTTCTATCTCGATGACATTTGATTTCTACGCTAGACGGGCTCGCTTACATATGTTGGATAGCATTCCATGACGCACGAGTTCCTCGACGTGACTTAGCCCGGGGTGCAGGCTCCACCGTCGGTAGAATACCTCGGATGAAGTTTGTCAGGGAATGGAAGGAGGCCTCATACAGGACAATCCTGTTCAGGGGCCATCCTGAAACCCTCGTAGAAAAAAGACTCGTGCGCGATTCTCAGAACCTACCCCATAGATACCCGGGGAAGTCAACGATCGTCGCGCTGCTACCGCGAATCGTTTGTGATCCGACTCTTCCGCGTGAAGACCCTAGCTTGCCCGGCAAGGGGAACTTCAGAGGTTCAGCTTCCGATTGCACTCCATCACGATCTTGCGTTCCCTTATCAATCGACCAATCGCTCGTCCCTGTAAATGATTTTAGATGAGCTCAATAATCATGATCGGCATATTTCCGCGAGGAGGCTAGAGTTGCGGAGACTAAGAACTTGAACACCGGTGTCAATAACGCAAGGAAATCGAGATCATTCGGAGGGATCCCTTTTTCGTATACGCGATGCCCTCAAAATCGTCCATTTATCGAGCAGAAGGGCCTTTGGAGCCTCAGATATCAGATACTGATGAATGAGGGCGTACAGATGGGAGACCACTCATCACTCATCATCCGAGGCCTGCAGTCCCCTAGATTTACCTATACCTATGCATGGATACCGAGCTACGATTCGATCTTCGCGACAACATTTGCTGGCATCTGCTGTCGCACGAAACATCGATCAATAAAACTTCGACTGATCTACGCAGGAGCGAGCGTGGGTGGACGACGGACCGAGCGGTCGGATCCAGATCTACGAGAAAACGACGCACGATATCCACCATGTCGTCACCCAGCGACACCTATTGCTCGGAGGATGCACCATCGCCTCCGTGGCTGCGATCATCGGACTCTGCATTGGATATTTCGCGCATGTGAGTCCCGATCCATTCCCCCAACTTCCCGATCGATCACAAGTTGAGAAAATAACTTTTGAATCCAGGAATTTTCCTGAACCTGTAGAGCCTGAAGATATCCCTTCCCCTGCATTGCAGACGGAGCACACTGTTTGCGCTCGCGGTCGATCGGTAGCGCTCTTCTCGGTGTATGACGAAGATCCGCTCGTCAAAGACAAGATTCTCGATATGGTCAGCGCTAGCCAATTCGTCCGTCACGTCAAGTGAGTATAACAATCGCTCCTCAAGAAAGCTGAGTAAGTGGGAGGAGCTTACCTTCTCAGGAAGGTCACGCTATCCGGGGACTGTTTTAGTCCCCTTAATCGCTCGGGTTCTCTCTAAAAGAGTATTCGTCCCGGTAATGAGGCTGTGCTTACCGGATCACAACTCGGATCAGCCCGCTCGCCAGTTCCTCACTCGTTTTCATTATATCACAGACTCTTCGGGGAAGACTCATTGCTAGATGACCATATCGTCAAGATCACAAAAAGCGAGTGGAGGAAGGCTTTGGATGAAATCTACACTGACGAGTTCACCGCTCCCGTCACCACTCAGGGCAGCAAGCACAACTCTATAGAGGTACTTGATTATGATCTATCCTCCCCATCGTCACGATTTTTCGTGTCGTGAAGAATTGACGAAGCTAAAACGTTCGGGGGAAGGTATCAGCGTTTATTTCCGATCGTTCCCGCAGATAATCTACCCGAACGGGACTCTGAAGGAAAGAATGGACCTCAGTTTGACCATGAAAGAGTTCGTCTTCGTCGGGAACTCGATAAACAAAACGATAAACGGACATCTCGTATACGCATCGAAGCTTGATTTCAAAGACGCGAAGTATCTCGCTTCGAAAAACTGCACGCAGGGCGCCATCCTACTCGTCAGGTAATGTCGTGAACAGTCCCGGAGGCCCCTAAAGGGCACCTGTGATCGAGAGATCCGGAGGTATTCGATGCAGCTTGATTTCCGCTCATGCAACGTCGTTCTGTTCCAAGGTTTGGAGTCTCTCCCCTGCGTCAACAAGTTATGCAAGCCACCTCCCTCGGGGCTGCAGGTGGGTGATCGCAGCCGATACGGTTGTTCTCAAGGGTATCAATTTGAGATCTATATCCGCCGTCTATGCCTGCTTCCCACTCAACCGTGAGCTCGCCTTAAGAAATCGTATCTTTTCCATAGGAATTTTGCTTTACCAAGACATCTTCGATTATCCAAACTTGGATATGAACGCTTTCCCTCGAACGAGCGTTCCCGAGGGCGATAATTGGTCCGATAATTCGCTGGATGATCTGGATGCTAAAGCCAGCTATAAAAGTGAGTACCTGATCCGGTGATTCTCGATGAATTGATTCTTCTCTCTCCGTTCTCCCTGGATAGATATTGATTGGAGACTTGACGGTGAATACTTCTGAGCAGATCTAGTGGTGCAGACCGTCAACGGACACATGGCGAAGAGTCTCCTCCAGCTTCTCGAGAGTTCCGATTTGGTGGCTCCTTCCAGGATGAGGGGCAACTCCAGCTCGGTTTATCATATTGGTCCTAGCAGTGTCAGTTTGAAAGTAACCACCCTGCAAAAGGTAATTGCTGTGACTCACGACATCTCGGGTCACCGAAGGAAACTCAAGACTTCTGAAGGGTCGACAGCTGAATATGCTTCTATATCTCCCTCAGACTGCCCCAGAGAAATTGACCAATGTGTTCGGCGTACTTCGCGGTCGTGTGGAGCCCGACAGATACATCATCGTGGGCGCTGGCAGAGATTCCTGGAGTCCCTCGAATGTGGGCGGACTCGCATCCCTACAGGTTTGTGGGAGAACGGATTTCGAGGGATGAAGCTTAGACGTGAGACTGAGCTCCTGATTTGTCTGACCACGAGATTTCCGATTCCCCCAGGAGCTCGCGAGAGTCTTCGGTGAGCTCAAGGAACAGAAATGGCGGCCGAGGCGCTCGATCATTTTCTGCAGCTTCGCCGCGGAACACTTGGGATCCCTTGGTCTGAACCATTTTGTGAAGAACCGGTATGTTATCCAAAAGGAGCCTTAGTTCGTATTCCGACCGGTTTCCATTCGGTATGGGGGTTCTGAGCCATCCTCCTCCTCCTCAGATTGAACGTGCTCCGTAATCGCGCCGTGGCGTACATCGACGTCTCCAACCCAGTATTTGGCTTCAAATCAGTGCTGGGGACCGGTTCTCCCATCCTGACGCAAGCTATCTTCAACGCCAGCAATCTGGTAGGTGTGGGTTCGCCAGAGATTATCGTGGACGATCGAGGACAATTTGAGAATGTGAATGATACAATCTCTCCGATGATACAACGGCAGCATCTTTCGTATGATTGGTTACATATCCATCGACTCTAGGTGAATTCTGCAAATTCGGGGAAGAGTAATAAAACCGTCTACAACGAGTGGTTGGACTCCTTCGCCCACGACAGGAGCAACGACGCCATACGAGAGCTCGCGAAGGTGGGTTCTATCGCGACAACCTTCGAAGATTCCGAGCGGCTCTCTGTTTGTAGGAGCTCGAAATTAGCTTTGGATTGATTGTGGAATTTTAATCTTCCAGCTTGCCAAAGAATCCGGTGAAGAAGACACCGTTCCTCTCGAATACGATTTCATGCTTGGAGCTGGCACGACGAAGGATAACAAGACCATAACTTTGTTCCACAATTACCTCCATTCGAGTACGATTCAATGGCGTTTGAATGGTCGTGGGCTGTGTCGGAGCATACTGGATTTCACGATGAGAGAGAGAAACTAATTTTTCTTCGTCATTCATACAGCTCTGATTCCGAGGCGGCCAATGATCCGGGCTATGGATTACACGGACGGATTCTCGACTTTCATATCGCAAGCCGGTGTTCCCATCATACAAGTCTCTTACGTCGACAACGAGTACTTCGACAACCGGAGAATGAACAGCAAACCATTCTGGTTCCGGACACAATTCGACACACTGAACAAGGTGGGTGGCAGATCCTGGCGGGATCCAGTGTCTTGCCCGGATTCATGACCTGGAGCTCAGAAGCTTCGTGCGCCTTCCAGGTTCAGGCAACACCGGACGATGGATACAAACACCAGATAGTCGTCACGAAGGTCGTGGCAGAGCTTGTGAGTATATCAGGGGGAAGCAAACCATCGTCGACGCAAGACTCACTCGCGTCTCCATAGGACTCGTTTGCTTCAACTAATTCGACGCCGTTTCTCATCCGATAGGTCCGCGATCTCGTAGATTCCCTATTCGTTCCCTTCAATTTGTTGGAGTACGCATTGACAATGCAGGATTTCTCGGCATCAGCCATCCGACAATACAACATCTTGTTCCCGGAACCGAAGGTGGACTTTCGGCCCCTCCAAGAAAGCGTGGTCAATTTCACTAAGGCCGCGGTGAAGTTCCACCAGGTACAGAGCAAGCTGGATCTCCGCGATCCAATGGCAATCAGGATGATCAATGATCAGCTGGTGTTCCTCGAAAGAACTTTCGTTTACATGCGGGACAGCAATGCGACAGAACACGCTCTCCTCGAGCCGGCGAAAGCTTTCCCGCAGATGGCGAGCCTATATCCAAGTAAGTCTGCGTAGAACTCTCGCTGAGTTGGCTGAAAAGAAGGAAACGACCCTGACCCTACGGAGCGAGACTTCCTGTCTCCCCCTCGAATTTTCTCAAAATTCCTCTCCGTCCCCAGGTGTGCTCGATCTGATCATGACTTCCCTCGGGAATCAAGACATAATGGACCAAGATCTCCTGATGAAATCGATAGTCGACGACTTGAGTCGAGTGATTAGAGACGCAACCGATCTGATACGGGAGGTATACGTATTCTAAGAGATACTTTGTGTCTCGAAAGCCCATCGAAACCTCAAGCACCCACCGAATCCAGGAATCAGCAGGAATATGGTGCGCTAGCTTTCTCGTTTCCTATCTCCTTCAGGGACCGAGATTTGTAGCTTGAAGCAAAGACCCGGTGGAACCTCTTCCCTACGGGACCGTGCTTCGAATTTCGCCCAAGGGAGAACCACTCGGTCAATTTCTAGTGAAAAGCTCGGTCGAACTGAATTCTGATGAAGAACTTCCTCTTGTGAGGAGTTTCGCTGTACACCTGATAGATTGGACAAGTTTCATTTGACGCTCGGAGTGGTCTGTACCCGTCCGTAGTCTACAGACATGGTGCATCAGTCTCTTACATTAAGTTCGCACGCGCGTTCCTCCTCCTTTTTTCCGCGGGCGAGGAGCATCTCGAGGCAAGGCTCATTCAGGTCGTCCGAGAGGATGCTTCCGAGTCGACGAGCGCATTTCGACAAGTCAATCATCTCCCTTCCATCTGTCGAGAACAGGGAATGATTCGGACTTGAGTGAAAGATTCCAAAGTCTCAATTCAATCAGTCGCAAGCACCAGGTTTGAGAGCCAGAAACGTCTGACCCTCCGCGTTGATTCGATTTTCATCTCTTTTTCCAAACTGGTGATTGCGATTATCAGATCTGATACTATGTTGTTGTGTAGAACCTCAGAGCGTCTCCGTGTACTTATCTTTTGAAACTTCTACCTAAATATTTAACGTACGGTCCTTGCCGGAAGTCAGACTGTCAATGTTCCGCGTTATGACCTCTTTTTGATTGTTCGCGGAATGTAGTAGAGAACTTGCACCGGAATGGCAACGACGTGGGGTGATCCGGTACCAGCGGATCCACCCCTTGCTGGAAGGGAGGTGCGACCCCGGTCAATGCTGTACAGAGTTGATTATATCTAGTACTTATAAGGCGCCAGGCCGGGTGAGGCCAAGCTCCTGCCGATATTTATGCAAGAAGAGCGAACATATCATGGCCACGCCTGCAGGTGAGCTGGTGAAGCGCACATCAAATCAGCACTCGACGAATCCTCATGCTTCCGGACACTGTAGAAATCAACCTCAGAAAGCTCTCCGTCGTATATCTGTCGCGAGGGTCAAGATTAGCGAAGAGTCGGAGTCCCATCTCTTCCTCCGCTAAAACGGGGCTGTGTTCTCTGGAGGAGACGCCGTTTATTGCACCTTGCTAACAGGGAATTCCGTAGAGTTTCACCCACCCCCCGGCTCTTATCGCACCACTTGTACTAATGAAGAGTCTGTGGAGAGTGATAATTCAAATATCAGACTATATAGTGGAAGGGAAAATATTCAGGCTGTCTAGTGGTTGGTTTAATATTTATGCAAGAAGCCCCCATGGTTTTGAGCCGTCATAACACTACTTATGATGCCGTCATTCCAGTCTTTCGATTTCTGAGCCGTGACGAGGGGTAGAAGACCCTATTCTTTGGAGATCAATCGACCCAAGAGAGCGATCACCCTCGTCGGACGGCGGCTACAGTTTCTCCAAGTCATTTACAAAAACCGTAGGGATGGACATGGGGCCTCTATAGCGGACCCCTGACGCTCGACAACTTTCAATGCTTCAATCAAGAGATCGATATCATTCCTCTTTCACGCGGAGAAGGAATCAGCATCGCTCATCGGATACATTATTCGCATCATATTGTCATTTCCTAGCCGAAACATGACCTCCGTCTCATTGAGACATGCGTGGATTTTTGATGATTTGAAGGGGATTCGAGTTCTCGCTTACCAACCTCAAGATCTCTCTATCGATCCAGATTATCCAGACACAAGTCTTTGTTGAGAATGCGTCATTCTATGATTCCCCACATAAGGGTTCAGCTCATGGCCCGCACACTTTCGGGTACATTGGGGGACAGCTAGGCAACTGGAGCTCGAATTTTATTGTTGCATTTCCGGTGAATTGTTCGAAGAGAAGCGCCATCACAAGTCTAAGCTACGGGGCTCTCAGTGTTTCGGAGAAGAGTCCGAATAGAAGCGAATAATATTGAATTTTGCAGAAAAGAAACGAACTTTTTAGACACTTACGAGCAACACCTCAGTGGTGCCAAGGAAGTCTTCGTACACGAGGAACGGACGGTGATAGACCTATATTGTAACCCATGCAAGATTATCCAGATTGATTGTTTGCAATAAACTGAATCTCACAAAATTGTTTCCTACGCATCAGGGAGGAACTCCACAGATTTTTATCCCAGGAATGTCCCTCAGGGCTCCGAGGGAAGACTCATGCTTGAAACTGTGATACATAATTTACATAATTTATTCACGGGAGCTCTACATACCCGGAGGAGCGCCTGAAATGACGACACCAAAGCGATCTCACGGCTCCCGCCGTTACGACAGCGGGTCGAGTCGTAGTCCGTTATGTGATTTCTTTACAGAAGACAGCTGTGGCGAGGGTCTCCAGAATTTACTGGATTGAGAGTGAGCCCTTGCTCGTCGACCTCTTGCTGCTTCGGGGATCTCTCAGTTTCATATCCTCCCGGCTGTGCCTTAAAATACCTAGACTTTTCAGGTGATCTTGGGCTTTTCCTTCACCACCGCTCACTAACCCAAGTTGCAATTCACTCGTCATTGTGGTTTGGGTGATGCTCCACCAGGACTTTTGTTGAACAGAACCAGGTTCACGAATTTGGAGTTCATCCCGTAGTACGGGTCCATGGGTTTGTTCCCGGCGGATTCTTGATTGCCGAAGTTTTCGCCCTATCGAGGATTCAGTTATTTGGATGTTAATCCGCAAAAACTCAGGGCTATGGCAAATACAGTAACATCTAGCGGTGACGAACCTTGTCCATGTTCAATGTGCCGGCACCGCAGCCGAAGCCAACTCCCTTCGGTCCGAATTTTCGGGAATAGCAGATCTTGCACCATAGGTCGCCGTTGTGCTCAGTCGAGTTGGTCGAATCTAGCCGTTTCTTGCAGAGGCCTGTTCAAGCATCCGATAATTCAGAGACCGAAGGACTTTCCGAAAAAGAAGCAGGAAAAGCCTTGCTCTCGCGCGGGCTCGCTTAATGTTTCTCAATCTGCTACGTACCGCAAGTGAAACAAATTTTGTGCCACTTCGCTCCAGCGGCGAGCATTTCCTCCGCAGCGAATACCTGAGACGGAACGAGGGGCCTCGTACAAGTAGGTAGGTTGAATGGAATAATCCCCGTCATCAGTACTGCGAGTCTCTCCAGGAAAATTGTCACGGGGAGACAAGAGCTTACCTGATGTCCACATTTGGGGCAGCGGGCTGCTTCTGTTGCTTGGAAGGGCATCCTTCAGGATGTGGTCTTGACAATGGAGTAGGAGGTTACTGTAAGGTGTTCAGAAAGATGGTGATGAACAGGGAAACCTATATAGCACCGAAAAAAGAGTCGGAAGAATATCCTCGAAGTTTGCATCGATAGAGCGCGGGAGGTCTTCACTCGTCACTGTATCCGAGGCATCACTGACGAATCAGTCGTCGATTCACGTCAACAACTCACGTATCACGCTCTTCTGTACAGTGTAATCTATCAACGTGAACGACAAGCCGCCCCACCTAGGGAGAAACAACTACAGACCTTCCGATCCAAGCCCAGGGCAATGTGGTCTCGCTTCCGAGCGGTGGTCAGCTTTTGAGTGCCTTTTGAGCGAGGAGAGAGTGCCTTCTGATCGGCCCATAGGGCTTCCTCGGGTTCCGGGTTTAGGCAACGGGTCGGCTCTGCGTTGAGCAGCACTCCAATTAGAGCCTAATTCAGCCTAGAGCTCGAGAGCTTCGCGGGCCTACTCGCTACCACATGAATCACCTGATGATTCCGATTGATGCGACGCGCGTCCCGAAGACGTCCGGCCCGCTCCCCGAACAGAAGAACCAATGCGGCATGACTGGAATCGATCGGTGTCGATATCGGTCGTCCTGCATAGATGCGGAGTGGCGGCAAGCCTAATTTTCGGACTACAGCACGATTGAGGCTTCTAGCAGGAGAGTGTGCTTTGTCTATGGCTTCGGTCTACGGGTGCTCCCCATGCATGCCGCCCGGGGGAACGAAGTTCCCTGAATAGTACTGCATGATTTCTCAGAATCGCGGCCAGGAACGTTCCTGGAGGCGATCGCAGGGAATTTTAGCTGCACCTTCCGCGGAGCTCCTCTAATCTGTCAGATCGCTCCCGAGCAGCGCTCTCACTAACGTTTATTTTCGATAGACACTCTGACGAGTCTCTCGCCGACTCTCAACGCTTCAGCTCTAGAAGCCCCGGAAGCGAATGCCGTTCATTCCGTAACATAGTTCGGTTATAGCCGGCATGAGTCACGGTTTGCGTACTCGAAACATTGCTTTGTTACACAGCGAATGTGCCCGGGCTCTGTTCACGAGTCATCTAATGGGGAAGCGTGGCCTCGAAAGAGATGACCATTGTCGAGAAAAAAGACGATTCGATTTGTGGGCGTCGAAAAGAATGCGGCTTTTCGCCTCAACTTGCAAAACCGTATCCTACATTTTCCACGGGCCGAGAGTCACGCGGGAAGCCTGCTTTCACGAACCTCGCGCCTTCTCCAGACTATTTACCCAGGCAATCAGTCTCTCTGAGGTTGCTTCCGAGGAAGAGAGGAAGTTAATAGATCAAGCAAAACTCATACCCTTTCGTGAAGCGCGAACTCGACGGGAGACCTGAAACATTCGACTTCTAGCTACATGTGCTCCAGGATCGCGACATCGTCACTGAGAGCGCTACGAGCCGAGTAAATACTTGATGAATCCGAGTAAATTACTCCGAGTCCGAGAGACACTCTAGAAAGAAGGCGTCATTGACAAGACTCTGTTTCTGCGAAGGTGTCAGAAACATCTCCCTGTGGGTATGTCAGGTAGCCAATTCTCTTCCCGCCACCTTCTCCGCGTGGAGTATTCGCCCGTTGCCGGAAGCTCGGCTGTTTTGCGATTCCTCCGCCAGCAATAATTCGCTCTTAATGAGATTGATGAGGTATTCCGGAACTCGATTCGCACATTCACTTCAGTGAAGGCAGAGTGGGTGCGACCAAAAACCTGTATGGGCTCAGCTGAATGATTCGACGGTGGAACCGAGAGCGGACCGGTGATGTACTCTCCCATCCTGAATCCTCTCAAGAGACCTCCCCTTCGGGAGAATGCTCCTGAATATCGGATATATCTGAAAAGAACTCGTCCTTGCCGCTGCGAGGAAACAGGGTGAGGGGTCCACAAGACGAATGTCTGAGATAGTTAGCGAAGACCCGACTGCATCTTGAAAGTAGACCTTGAATACGGTCGCCCTCTCATTAAATGGAGGCGTCTCTTCGTGGTGTCGTCGGTGATGGTGGTGGAATATTCTCTGAAGTCATTTAGAACTCTATTCGAAATAGAGTCTTTAAAAAAGAGCTTTCTGTCCTAGATCGCTTAGCCAGCTGTCATACCGCCCTGTGAGCTTCCCTTGAAGGCTTTCTCGTAGAGTACGAATGGCGCGCATAAAAACATATCGCGGCAAGTGTTAAATTTAGACAAACCGCTTTCGGACATTCCCATATCTCCACGGGTTCGTAGACGACTGTGAGGACAGAAATTATGTCCCCGTCTGAGCCTGGATGCATCACCGTGAGAAGGTGTCGACAAACGGCAGGCATAAATTCCCCAGTGCGATCCACAGGAAGGAGTGAGTACCTACTTTGAGGAGTACCAGGAGTATCTGCGGATCCAATGCATCGATTCTCGGTCAGTTGACTGCGCGGGACATTAGGGTCAAATCAGGCCTCCAGAAGGGAATGAGCGATTCCACGGAGCCTTCGGTAAATGTTTCTCTGCGTGCGGATTATGAGCGTTCCTCATGCACCCCAAGCGTCAAATCGGATGCTAGCACTACGTATTCGGGCCTCTCGTTTCTCCGTACTGAATCTGTGGGTGAGGGGTCTGATGTCGTGAGGTGTCTGCTGAGAAATTCGCCGTCGAAGAACAAGCTCATCCGCTGTCGGCTGCGCGCGTGTAATCGTCTCCAGATAATCGCCTCGGCTGGATATGTCGACCGAAGTCGGGCTCCACTCGACTGATCCGATGGTGCCGCGGACTCAGTAAAGACCTCCTGGTGGCGAGAACGGAGCCTCCCAATCCACGAACCTCCCCCTCGAACCAGAGTCCAGGGGCTGGCTGTAAGACTTAGTTGGACGCACAGCCTCGAGCTCCGAGGTCGCCTAAATGTTTTTATGAACTATTTACTGAGCTCCCTCTCGCATCAGAACTCCCTGTTCTGCGAGAGAGCAGTGCGCGGATTCGGAGTTTAGCCCTGTCATCAGGGGGAGGACCTTGTGTGAGTGCTCTACTGAATTTTCGGGTACGAAATGTCCCTCCACCCTCCCTCCCTGAAACCAAGACGGAGTGAAACCCAGTTACAATCTCCAGAATAGGCCGCGCTGTCAAAGCTCGGATCTCAACAGACAGATCGGAACCGAGGGCATAATTCTCGGAAACTGCGACGAACGAAGGAAGAGCTGAGGATTCCTGTCAAGGGATTCTTATTTTTCGTATCTGAATTCCACGAGACGTCCACTCCCCATCACAATGGAGCGCGCACAACTCATCGAGCTCTATCTACGCAACAGGGAAACCGCACCGGTTTCCAAACAGGCATCATCCAATATCCAGTGCTATCGGTGAGAATCGTCTCTGTCGGGTTTGAGGTTCGAGGCCATACGCCCGCATGGATCAATTTGTTCCTGCACCGATTCAATCGCACGGATTCCCTGCCCCCTCGATTCCCCTGACTGAGCTGGTATCTCTTACTCCCATTCAGCACGATCGAGCGCGGAAAAAGAACACTCGGTTACTCTATACTAGATTTCTTCCGTCTTTCGGAATTTCCCTTGATTTAATGGGCGTTTTTTTCCTCCCTTCTCTTCCATCCATAGCTCCCATTCCATTTCGACGGCAGGATTCCATCCTTGGTTCATTTAGCTCAGGTCTCCGTATGAACAGATCCAAAGCTCAGAGCTCAGCGAGGTATGTCAGGAGCATATTTGATGCGGTTTGCTCTCTTTTCCATCCGTTCAATCCACTGAATGCTCCGCAGCGCCCCACGATCAATTAGGCAGACCTTCCTCGTGCTGGCTATCTTCTTACTCACGGTCGGAATGAGATCACCGGGATGCGGTGGATTCCGCAGCGCCAGAGCTGTCCGACACGTACGTCGCGTTGAGTCCGAGATTCCATTGCAGGCTCGTCCAAGTCGAAACTCCAGTTTCTCCCGGTCAGGACGACCCAGAGCCGGAGCCGATACTCGATCAGGACGATGAAGTCGAAGTCAAGAACTTGCGTAACACGTATTATCCTTTTTTAACGGAACCGTGCGATTTTTTGGAGCACCATCCCGCTGAGCAGGATAACCGCACCCTGCCTGATTTGAAAGTCAGCGCTAAGGGTCGACGAAGGAGGAAACTCCCGGAGATACCAAAAGACAAGAAACGTACGTATGTGGCTTTACTCGCTGCTTCTATATGGGGAGTCGTGCAATATTGTCTACGGCGTCTAGCCGAGAGCACAATATGGCCGCGTCGGCGGCAACAGTCTGGCGCCGTCCCATACGAAATGACCCTTTCCTTGGATGTTCAGCTCTCGAAGGACTCAGTCTGGCGGAGGAATTCCGTGCAATCGATGCCAACACGCTGGTGACTCCCTTCTCTGAGCAGCTCTACCTGGAAATCGACACATCGGGAAACCAGCCACGTTCGACGTTCAAGTGAGCCGACAAGATTATTTCGATTAAAATCCGAGCACGGTATCGGCGGAAGCTTATGTTCCTCGAGCGACCTGTAGGGGATCGGGACTCACTCAATCGAAGCCCCGCGAGAGACGATGGGCAGGATTCATCCTTTTCTCAAATGCGATTTTGAACCGCAGGTACTACAAAGATCAAGCGAACGAAGACGAGCGGCTTCGAAACATCAAATCTCCGACGGACATGGACGAGAGCAGAGAGAAAGATGGTGCCGCGGAAGATCCGCCACAAATCGTGAAAGACTTGGAGGCCAGACATCAGCTTGAACTTCAAGCAAACGAGCTTCAGGAGCTCAGCAATAGGGATCGTGACAGCGGTCAGGGTGAGAGTTCGCCATCGAGAAGTTCAACGATTTCATCATCCAGCAGTGCTCTTTGCGGTTCGCTGGCGAGGCTCAGAGTTTGCGACGCTACTCATAGAGGTAAAGCAACGGCCCATCGTGGTCAAAGGGGATGACTCTACGTCTATTTATCTTTCCTAGAGGTCACGTATAACACGTCATGCGTTCCAGGCATCCATCGGTTCGTGCCTCGACATCCTGATGAAATTGCCGTGGACCTTGGGGATCCTGTCTATGTGATAAGGTAAATGATTTACTGTTTCCGAGGCCCAGCCCTCGTGGCGTTCAACGCTTTCAGCGTCCACTGAACACTTTTTTGGAGAGGCGTTGATTTTTCGAACCCCTCACAACGACGCGGAGCAAGTGGTGAATCGGAGCTAAAAGGATGATCTATTCAATCTCCGCAGGGAGTGCTCAATCGAAGATAGTTGGTGCGAAGGCTTGAATCTCACCACAGGTCGACGAGGCCTTTTTCCAAATGCATACGTGACTGATGTCGACTACAATGAATTCGGTTCAGGTATCGAAATTGATTAGCTCGCTCCGAGCGCCGTGCATTACTGCTCCCGCCGGGAGTCTTCCGAAAGATTCACGAAGCTCGAACAAACTCATACAAGTCGCTATTCTTTCTCGACAGATCAATGCCTACGGCGGGAGAGATTCCTGTTGCATTTCCTCGGTAGCGTAGAAGTTTCACAGCACAAAGGCAATAGCGTTCTCTGTCAGGTAGGTTCTCGGAGCGAGCACGGAACTTTCTCCCGAGCTCTAGAATTCGAGCTGCTATCGATGGAAATCCAAAGAAACGAGAGCACCCTGGCTGATTCCAGGCGATCCGTAAGATTATTCGGGAAGCGAATAGGGCTGTGTCGAGATCCACAGGGGAACCGAGGCCTGTGCCTAGCCTCGAGCCTGAAAGTCCCACATCCTCTGAATGGTGGTCGAGCTGTCTCGAAGACGTTCCAGGCCACTCTTGCGTACTCGAAGTTTCAGAACAAGGCCTCCGAATCGTCGACCGGCGATCCAAGGTGAGCAGCTGAAGGTGTCGAAGACAGCCCCGCATATCCCAGATACACCTAGGTAAATCTTTTTCAGGCCATTCATGAGACTTTTCCACAAAAACGGACTTCCATACGTGTAACTCGTTTCCCTCCAGGTCGGAGACGATGCTGCCGCCGACAGGAAACAAGATTACTTCTTTAACCTCAAGAATGTGACTTTCTGCGGATATCATCCGACAGATCATCGGTCAGTAGAGACGAGAATATCGAGCTCTGTCTGTGGAATTTTTTAGGAGAGGGTAATTCCACGGAGTCTTTGCAGGTATTTTGGTTTCATCTCAAAGCATCCTCTGCTGAAACGATTCGCTTGCCACATATTCTTCGCTGAAGACGGTGCCCGAGATGTTGCGGCTTCTATTGGTTCAGCCTTCGAACGTTTCTACCACAAATTCATGGAAGTCACATTTCCCACCGAGGACATCTACATCGACGACGCGGCAGTTTGAGGACCCTGGGATTTGTGATGCCGAGAGTCTTGGTGCCGATTCGGGGGCTCTCTCGAACACGAAGCTCCTCGCGCAGCTCTTCTTCTGGAATGTACCGAGGAATAATCCACGCGAAAACTCAATCTTAGGACCGCAGCCAGAGTTCCGGATCCTTCCGGCGAGCGTTTCCGATGCTTCAATCGACGACTTACAGCTCGCAGTCAATTCGCAAATTTTCTGATGGCTTTCCCCCTGCTCCGCCTGCGATGAAGCTCCTCGGCGAATCGCATCGGTATTTCTCGGCTCGCTGATGAAGGAAAGGTCTCTAGGAAGATTCTCAGATCATTGGGTGAATTATTTCGTTATGGGACAGTGGAGGGTCGACGGCCATTCATGATCGTGAGCTCCTGGGAGCGATTGTATCGCGCGAAGGATTTATCATCGAGCAAAGTATTTTCGTGCCATTATTTCTTATCCAGTCGGTTGCTCCTAGTCAATTCCTCTATCTATACTGAATCGAGACATCCCGAGTTTGCCTTATGGAGAGCTGCCGATGAGACATTGAAATCAAAGGGATTTCTCGGGCAGGAGGAGACTAGAGCCGCGGCGGTTCACGACGACACCGTGATGATTTTCAATCACACTGAACTCCGATGCCGAGATTTCGGTGCCGTGAGTCGGGCCCTCGTTGAAAAATGAGACGAGCAGGTATAGGGGATATCGATCAAATTGAACACGACCCAGGATATCCGGATTTTGGATCGAGTTAAGAATTTCTCGCAGCTTCGGAGTATCGCCGCGTCAACTGTTCACGTTTCGGATTGAGTTCTCAATATATATAATAAATGAATCTTTTCAATCATGGAAGTTTTCCTTCACCGCTGGACTAGAGCTCGTGATCCGAGTCATGATGCTTCCACGGTCGCATACCGAAAAAAATACACTCCGCCGAGAACGTCCTCGAGCTATGGAAGGGCTCAGGGTCGGCACGGAACATAGCGCTCTTAATCCTTTCGGCCTTTGCGTGGTTCCTGCTGCCGTCAGGAACACACCGGCATGAAGGCGTTACAGCCGAAGTCGACTCTGAAAGTTTTGGTAAGCCCGCGCGTAATCTGCTTCCCTCTGTGCAGGAGCAGCAGCAGCAGCAGCGAGAGATCGTGGTAAGGGTCAACCCGCTCTTCGGTGGCCAAGGTCACCCGTCTGACAGACCGACGAGCGGCCGGCTGTCTCGTGTTGGATTTTACCAAGTTTTCCCTCCTCCTTGGCTGCTGCTGGCTGGCTGGCAGTCAGTTGTTGAGCTGCCGTCGTTTTAACATCATTGAAGCAGTCAAGTTCAGGGACGTCATCTCTGCAGGAGAGTCCGTCGGGAGCCAGTCTGCCGTCGTCTGCGAGAATCAGTTCTCATCGGGGAGAAGTCAGTCGCGCAGGCACCGTCGGCGACTGCAGAAAGCGCAGTGAGTACCGGCTCCAGTCGGAGAGTAATTTGTGGAATTTAGTGAATCCCCGGCTCGAGTATTCGAGACGCTCATCGCCCGAGGCCGTCAGGGGTAGAAACGTCGGAGTCGAGTCCGGGAAACCGGCCTGACATCGATCCGGCGAATGTTCGGCGACGACAGCGCTAGTGCAAGCAGAAACGTTTATGCAACGCAACGACGGAGCTCACAATACCGTGGAGTCCATACTAGCAGCAAAGAGAGACGCTCTGCTGGAAGAAAGGGAAACTCGGCGAGAAGCGTCCGCTGGACGGAACCTAATTCCAGACGGACGAGGGACCGAAAGCCATATCGTGATCACTTCCACCAGCGATACCCGCTCGATAGATCTGCATTGGGGACAGCGCCAGCTATGGAGTTTCGTTGTCAATAGTCCCTGAGCATCAAGAGTAAGGTCTCCCCGTCTAGGGAAAAAGCTCTTATCGGAAATGATCGGTGGGTAGGTCGTTCGATTGGTCGGCTGGTCGTCCGCTCCCTCGTTCGTTCGTTTTTTTCTGAACGAATATCTTAAAGCAACAATTGGCGAAGCTGTCGGTCGGTCGGAGGTGTCGCATCGAGAAGAACTGCTCGCGGATTAGAGGCTCGTGTCTGGCATCGGTGAGGAGATCCCCAGTCAAGATTCAAGCCTGCTGATACGACAGCTCAGAAGAGCTCGGAGCCTCCAAAGAGAATCCGTGTCGAGAAATCGCTTCACGGAAGCTCGAACGACTCTCCCACGGTACCTCGCCGCCGCCGCGCCGTCGTAATCACCATCATCAGATCAATATTTGGCGGAGAGCTTTCGTAGTCCACAGAAATTAAACCTTCAGCTCCAGAATTCCCCATCTGACCGTGCCCTCTGATCTCATTTTCAGACTTCCGAGCTCGGACTTCGATCCTAACCGACGATCTCACAGGGTTCTCTCTAAGTGCTGCTAGCAGGTAGGCCTTTGGAACGATCGGAAGTCGTCTCTTTATGCACGAGAAACACTCCCGGTGGAGTGGAAGATGAAGACGGCGTCGATGACGGGATTCTTTAGAGCTGTAATCATACTACCTGCAGAGCTTTCCATGGAAGCCACTTGATGCTGGCTACCAGCTCCCGATGTTCCTCATCTCCGATGAGAGCGCCGGTGGCTGCGTCTGCAACGACGGCAACAGCCGCCGTCGAGAGGAGGAGACGATACTCGAATAGAATGCATAGAGTGACATTAGAATACCGGCAACAGCATTGCCGACGACACGATGAGTCGCCAAATGTGTATCTCGGTCCGGGATCGATGCTGGTGCACCACCTCCTGATCTCCCGAGGACGGCCCGCCGCTTCCTGCGGGAGCTTACACCTTGGTTCCTGGCCTCCACCTCCTCCTCCTACCCTTCGGGGTATCGGACATGGGAATCAGGAACAGGAAGTCCATCCGGAAGTCTCTTCGCAGGCTTGCATCGATTTCTGAGTCCTTGGCCCCCGAGGCCTGCGATACGGATGGAGGAAGTCGGAGCCCCTCTCGGAATCTCGCTCCTTCCATGGAGCTCGTCACGGTATATGCTGTGTGGACCATTCTTCCATCGATGCCGGATCGACCCGTGATCCTCCCTTCTCGTGAAAAGTTTCCGTGGGATCACGATCGTCGTCTACATCGGCGTTAGCTTGTATATCGGCGGTGAACTCAGGGAGGTTCAGAGCACTCTTCAGGCGTTGGACCTCGATGAGAACAAACACTGGGAAACGGGACTGTGTGGACGGGTTCGGAGAGCAGACGCCTTTCCAGACATAGGTACACACTGGAATTGATTCCAGGCTCAATACTGTCTCGGCTATTTTTGGAACAGATCCTCCGTTGCCAGAGTGCGCGGTCGTGTCGATAAAGTTGCTGATAGCGTGGTATCAATGCGACAAAGCAAGCCATAAGCATAACGTCACTTCGGACGTTTGATATCTAGGATCTAACCTTGCTCGAACCGTCGAGCCAGGCACAAATCCGCTCTCGCCCTCTGCCGGAGTAGCTTGGGTCTTCGGGAGACAAATCACATCTTGAGCTTCGTCGGAGACTCCGATTGGAGTTTGGACCTTGTTGGCCTTGGAAGAATCCTTGCAAACCAATTCTGCACTGCTTTACGCTCACCCGGGACTACAATGGGCAGCAGTGTCGGCCACTCCGGAACGTTACCCGCCGTTGCTCCTCGGCCTGACCATCTGTGGAATTTGGCTGGGACATGAGCAGCATCGAAAGATCCCTTGCTCAGCCATGAGCTTGTACGACCTCGTGGACTTTTCTTGAGTGCATATTCTTGGAGAAGTGTCTCGCATTCCGAATTCGACATTTCAGAGCTCAGCCAGGTTCTAGGAAATGGATGCCTGTCAAATAGACCACAAACTCATTCCGGAAGCTTCTCGAGAGCGAATCGAACGAATTTTATTCGACGTCGGCCAACTCACGGACATCGAGAAACTCTATCTTTATCTAAGACTGCCATCCGGGGCGAAGCCCTGTCCGCCTTCCAATAGCTTCTATCCTCTTCTAGGGAAAAAATCACACTCTCAGGTAAGCTGATGTAGGGCGTGACGGTGTTAGCTCGATCAAAAGACCTCAACCGAGGCTCACTGGTGTCAACTGACCGGAATATATCTCGTGCTTTCCAGGTCGGACACACTTACGCTTGGATCCGGGGCCATCTCGAAGAGGATCGCGATGTGTCATTGCCAAAACAAGAAGTTTATAACGAGTACAAGGTCGGTTCTCATCAGTCTATTCTCTGATCCCGTTCGCCTCTGCTCGGAACTTAGAGCCGAACGAGGAAAATAATTATGATCTCTGACACGCCCCGAGTGAGAATTCCTGAGCTGCCCGGAATACCAACGCCTCGACTAAGCATGAGTCGCTTCCTCACAGGCGTACTTCGAGGCGCACGCACTAGAAGCTCTGTGCACCGCAGACTTCGGAAAAGTGATGAAACACGTCTTTCCCGCCGTTAGGGCTCGCAGACTCGGAGAACGAGGTGAGTTCAAGGCTGTTCTGTGCAACTGCGGTCTCCGGTTTGACGCCGAGGAGGAATATTCCTCTCATGTATCGAGAATGAATCGATCCCATTGCCCGAATCAGACTCAGCTCCCGATACGATCTCTCGGCGCTCTCTCCACAGGTAAAAGTCGATACTGCTATTCTGGCCTATCGAAAAAAATCAAGTCAGAGCCCCCGTCGTTGGGGGATATGGAGCAGGGTGGTTGTGATCCGAATCCGCCCTCGAAGAAAATCTCCCATCTCAGAATACTGCTCGATGAATTCAGCCCACAATCCCCGGCACCCGCAGATGCTATCCTCGATTCCGGGGTTTCGTCAGTGGCTACGTCACCTCGCGAGCGACCTGCGAGCGGTCCAGGCGTTTTTGGCTATTATTCCACCAGGGACAAGGTCAGTTGGGATGTCTCCGGCGGTTTTATGATACATTCGAGGAAGATTCATGCTTCCCGAAGAGGCGTGGAAGAACAAGGGACGTGCGACCGGTGGAAACCGGCGTCACGGTGGGCCGAATGGCGACGCCAGGCGGGGGACGGGATTCTTGTTTGAATTTCGCATCAAAAGGTTTTCTAAGAGCTAGAATCGTCAACGGGGATGTCGGAGGACAATTGCTGTCTTTTCTAAGAAATTGACAAGAGAGCTGAGTGACTGCCTCTCGGAGCTGAGTGACTGCCTCTTCGAGGTCTTCGTCCTCCAAGTTTAGAGCGCTCGCGTTCGACAACGCGAGCACCCCTACTGTTCCTTCACTTCCTGAGAATGCTCTGAATCGAAAAAAAAAGGCTCCGTTGAGCGCCTTTCTGAATTTCCGACCTGACTTTTCTCTCGCCTGAAATCGCCATTTTGCCCACCAGGGCGTCAGGTGAAAGGATGTTTTCTGATCATCATATCATCAGAGAATTCTGTCTCATTCTAAGAATCTTTCTCAGGCTCTCGTCGATTGCCAGGACTTTGGATCTCGTAATCGAAGTCAGAGTGCTCCTATCGAACAACTCGGCGGTAATGTGATCGCGCCCGCCGCGGCTTTGCCTGACGACTTCCTCGCTGGCGGCGGGATCGAGTTCGATGATGTTTTCGGCAACATGGATTTATTGACGAGCCCGCCGGAGTGAAATTTCGCCCTTCTGTAGAGAAGAGATCTGACGGCAGCCGAAGCCTGAGATCATATCCTACATGTTTCGTTTTCGAAGCTCCATTTCCGACGTCCACGGAATGAATGACAGGCGAATCTTCAGATTTCGGGAGAGCGAAGATTTTGCTGTGAGCCCAGAGCTTGGAAATCGGAGCGACTTTTCTCAACTATACATACAGGGGCGGGAACTTCCCACAAACTCAACGCTGACTGTGTTCTAAAGGCGGAGCCTGCGATTGCCTGAAACTAGTATTAGTTAGTTCTGAAGAAATTTAACGAAACGACTTTTCCAAATGACACACACGTTATATTGTTAAGGACACTGACAACAGATACTACCTACAAAAATTATTACTACCGCTACTATAATATTATATCGATATAAAATAATTATACTGTTACTTAGGACAACTGTTGATGATGTTTCAATGGATGTTACGGTCGATTTAGATTTCTGAGATGCGCCCTAAAGATATCGGAACTTCGTTGATTACCATAATAGCTCTTATGATGAAGTTGGGCATTAAAAGGATCGTTGGAGAAGTGTTGTCCTTGCGATGGTTCGACAAGACGACGCTCGAGCTGACAGATCCAGAACCATGATTCAGAGACGGTTTGGTCAGAATGTGATTTCTTCTGCGATCGAGATGTCGGGACTCCGAGCTCAAATCATTTTCGTGATCGACAGTCACTAGACCGCCGAAGGAGTCGACGCTCGAGCCCTCGGAAACGTTGCTCCCGGAAAAGCGTGTGCCGACGTTGAGAACACGGGACGTTGACCTCATCGACATAGCTCGTTCGAGTCTCGATCTGTGATCACAGCGTCAATTAATTTGTTTAAGCTATTCCATGAATCAATAACTGACCAACAGGGCTCGAGATCTATTCGAGCTCACGAACGATTGAGCCTTTGTGGCGTACATCATCGCTTCTCGAAGCCTGTCTATTGTGATTTCGGATCCAGACCCACAAGACACACCTACAGACGCCGCTAATCGAGTCGCTCCAGAGGCGACTGAGAGAACTTATTTTGAAATTTCCAGAAAGCGAGCGATACATTTTCTCTCTGACACCTACGGAACGCAATGCCGCAAATTCACGAGCGCTGCCGATTATTCAGACTTCTCGATGGGTGCTATAAGTCCCCCTTTCCCCGGAATCGAAAACCTTACAGGGACTGGAGATCCGGAGCGTTTCGGTTTTTCAAGGTCACTCCTCTGCCACGCTGATCCCTTGGCCCCTGTATCGTGTTCTCGATTCTCACAGGCTATCGAGGCACGGGATCTCCACTATCCCGAGTCTCCCCTGAGAACATTGATTCAATAATCAAATCATTCTATGACTTCAGAGAGCTGAAGCCTCTGAATGTTCACCTTCGCGGACTTTTCCAATGTATTTTGAATCACTCCGAACTCGATACGTGAGGTGAATATCATCAATGATTTTTCTAGGAACCAATCGGAGAAGGGAATGGATCGTCAGGGGCGAAATCCCGTGTACGAGCTTACTCTGTATCAATATGAAGAGGCCTAGTTGTTGATTTTAAATTTGTATTCTATGACTCCGAGTCCTGACCTGACAGGAAACTGTGATTCATTCAGTTAAGCATTGAGACTGTGACGCACGTTACGGTGTTTGATGGATTAGAGTGAGAAGCCAGACGCTGTAAAAGTATGTACTGATAAGCGGATACTAAATAAGAGTCGTAATCGCATCCCTGCGACCATGGAGCGATCTATATTCAGGTGAGGACCATTTCCGACGGAAAATACTTCGGCTCGAGAATTCCGGATACATCAATGCCGGAAACGGCACGTGATTCTGCTATGGGGGCCTTCCAGACAACGCGGGCGCGAAAAACAGAGACGGAGAGAGGTTCACTCCAGAGAAAGAGGGAGAATCCGAATGATCATACCCACAGTGATGAACCGTTCATGGGTAATGATCACAGGAGGAGTTTCGGCTCATTAGAATATGTCGATGGAAACCCTCAGAATCATATAAAATTGGAAGGCGCTTCATGAAATAAATCTATCTATTCTGTTCATGTGGTCTGAGTTTATTTCGGAGTATGCTCATTGTTCGCTCGATTCATTCGGGAAGGTGCGTTTCCAGGAGCAATTTGTGGGATATCAGAGTCTTTCCGGAATCGGCCGAAACAGCGGACTCGACACGGAACGCCTGTGCTCACGGAGGCGCGATCGGACCTCTGCCATCAGACCGACTCGAATGCCTTCGAGTTAGGCGACGGGAGCGCAGGCATGGAGGCCCCGAACACGTTCCTGATTCTATGCATGCTGGTTGGAGGTATGCTCACAATCCCGATCCCTCTTACTCTCTAGGATCTGATGGAAGCACCTCGTATTCTCGGCTATACCATGTCTCTGTCAGGGAATTCCCTGCTCCATGGCAGACCTAAAATCTAGGAAACACGCTTCGCAGATCCTGTGGTTCGGTCTGTCCAAGAGTGTGAGGTGTCAAGACCAGGTCTAAGGGGTATGCCTCATTGCGCTGATGATTGCGGAGAAGAGTCCTCCGTGTATTTCACTGCTGGCTGTGCAGAAGGGAAAGTTTGCTGCATATCAAGAAACCCCGTTGACGAAGAGGAAGAGCCCAAGCCTATCAACACACCGCAATCGATTCTTCCGGCAAATGTAGCGGACTCCCGAAAACCGAGTGAGTGTTCTCGATTCCTCTCGGCTGCGTGTAGAAATTCCGTCTTGAGACTCCGGAGATTCTCAAGGATGGTCGATGTTCCAAGGGACACTCAGTCAGATTGACGAGAACAGGAATTCTGCGGTTTTGGGAAGAGCTCGCAACTTCCTCTCTGTAGAGAGCTCGCAGCAACAGAAACGACCTCTCCATGGCCTCCAGCGTCAGTGTGTTGAGAAAGCTGAGCTAACAAAAATATCTATGGCTTCGCGGACCGTGAGTTCCCTGAGAACACATCAGGGTCTGTGGACAGAGGCCCGAGGAGTTATTGCTTGAAAGTGAAGAGGGAGGCCGGCTCACACGCCCCCGTGCTCTCAGGGCGCACGGTTCTCGGTATCGACTGGCGGTTGCGAGGGAAAACCGAACCCCCACCGGAGTTTTCGCTCCGGTTTCGTCTGGTTCTCCACCGGACTCGAGCGAATCGAAACCTCCATCACAAGGGGGATCCAGCTCGATAATTCGGAAGAAACCGATCTATGACTAGAATCCTCGTTATCTTCCGTTTCAGGCTCTACGACGACGGAAGCGGCGATAGAAATCACGAGCGGAAATCGGAAGTTGGTTGGAGACCATACGCACGACTAGTTATTCATCGGTCTCAGATAAGACCGAAACGTGACTCTAATCGTTTTATTCAATATTTTTTGTACGCCTAGTAAAACGACCTTTGTCGGAGGTTCAATCGAGAAATATAAGCACTAGGTCTTCCGACGGGGTGCCAGCTCTTTAGTCTCTCTCCAAACGTTCGGGCGCGCAATAAGTCATCCTCGTACCCTGTTCTCTGAATACGAAGAGCACCTTATTCGTTTGGAACTCCCGATATAACTCGGGGCATCCTTATCTCGAGAAATCCAAAAATCTCAAGGTCATGAGCGTGAGTCCTACGCCCAGTCTCGCCGTACGTCACCCTCGTGGTGAGAAGTCGGCCTTTCGCATATTTGCTGGTCATGCGATCGATCTGAATTTCTCTACCTATTTTGCGCAGTCAGACACTGGAGATAGCACAAGCGGCCTGGGTCCTCCGAGGTGTGCCCTGATACTCGGGAGGCTGCCCCTGATCATTTGCGCCTGAAGTAGATTTCGCAGGCTGAGCCGAGACGGGCGTGAGAGTTTGAGATACAGTCCCGCGTTTTTCCCCTCCACTGTCCGCTTACGATGAGGAGCAGCACATTCTCAATGGAGGAGCGAGGTCTCGATGTGGCACTACCCTTCAAGCATCATTGACACCTTGGCGAAATACCCCGAGAAATGCTCCTTTTTACCCAGATATCGCCAGACCGGTTCATCGGAATCTATAGATCAATCCAGCTATCGGCAGCCTCCGGCTTACGGAGCAAGATCGATTCGAGCCACGTTCTGAAGACATTTGAAGTTCCCCCGATCGGGGCAGATTCTCGCTGTCTCCACAGTTCCACAGCCATTCACCCGCATTACACCACCGCACAGTGGGGCCAAATGGAATTTTAGGTGGACAAAAGTCCATGGAAAATCATCCCGGAATTTTGATCGGTGATGGATTTGAGAATGTTCGGAAGGCTCTGGAAGTCTCGAGGAAACCATGATTACCGCATTTTCCGCATCCCCCAGCCACCCTGGCACCTGCTAGAATGGAATTAAATTTTTTCGACGACAATTTCTATGAATCTTGCCCCCCAATCGGTGATGCTCGGAAATGAAGATACTTTGTGCCCTCGAATAGGGGGAAAATTATTTTCTGCGCTCAGTTCTCGTCCCGATCCCGCAATCCCACATGATTCTGGTCGAGTCAGCCGATTCTGGACTTGCTGGGAAGACTTTTTCGCCGAGACGAAAAAGTTCGGAAATTCGTTAAATTCTCGATGTCAGAAATGCTGTGTCCCCACGAGTCCTCCCCCTGATTTATTTCTTTTTGAGGAGTATCGGACCTCCAGTCGCCGCAAAAAAAAATTGAGCCGCGAAACCCAGCTGTTCTCGAATACTGTATGTCCAAAGTTGGTATATGATCTCGTAGATCGGGACCATTCTCATGTAGTTGTTCGAATCCGAATCAGCACCAAGAGACTGGCGCCCACATGTCGGAGACGATTGACCCCTTCCTCCCGTTTAAAGAAGTAAGCGTTGCGTTTTGGCGCGGCGTCGACTCGTTCCCCGAGGTAACTGGAAGGCGAACAGAGAGCGACAATGTTCTCCAACTCATTTTCACCAAGATCTTCAGATCCTCTTATGGTCTCTATGCGGCGATTCCCTCGGAATAAAGGGAAAACTCCGGATCCAGAGGTGCGATGCTCACTCGACTACCACTCATTGAGGGAAGATGTTGAATCGATAGAAGACGACGATGCTAGACTGCTAGACACATTGATGAGGAATCAGAGGGCTCGGAGGCAGCTTCCGCTGGCTCGAGCGATTATTCTGCTGTCGATGTATGAGTTTAACGGAGTTGAAGGAATCCGAGTAGAATGAAAAGTGGACTCCGTCCCCGATTAATCATATCATGTTTTTTCCTCATATTGTGAGCTCATCCCACTCCCTGTGATGTTGGAAGTGCTTTCAGCAGTCTCCCTTCGCTATTCCAGACTCCCGAAACCTCAGAAAGCTGAAAAATTACATGGAACACTCATGTCCACCTGAAATCCGATTTGGCCCCACTCTGTGCACTGTGGCAGTAAGCAGTAAGCGCTGTAACGGGAGTCGGATCGCTCCTAATGGTGCAGACTGGAATCATCAGACTCACATCGGCCTCCGGGATCGTTTCGCCGTTAGTTCAATGCACGTTCCATAGCAGACTGAATTTCGTATGGTTCGAGTACCGTACTTGGCTAGGGTAGTCTCGGGAATCGCGCTAACATGGTCGGACGTCTTGATCAGTTCTCCCCGTAAGCTTCCACGAAGCATATCAGCGAGGGTTGATCCAGTTTGTTTGAGGCCTTCGACGAGGAGAGCGAAAACTTCGACAGCGTGAGCGAGGGTCGTCTCTCCCTTGCAAAGCAATAGGATAGCTCGTTTGAAAAGAGCCAGAGTCTTGGCTATGCTCTCCAAAGCGAACGTGACCCGAGCGCTGATCGAAGTCCCATGTCGGGACATCACATTGCAGGCAACGTAAGGAGCGCCCTTTAAGGGGTTCTACAGTCGAGCATGAGTCGGAGCTCAACTCCGTTGTATTCTTCCTTGGCAGTCATCCCCCGGATTTCATACATGAGGCTCGGTTCCGACTTGAAGCTCCGCACAGCACGTCGGAGTCGATCCTCTACTTCGCCAACAAAGGGACTCCATTCTCCTTCATCATCTATCGCAGGTTCCACTCCATTCCCGGCCCGCGGTTCTGCTCCTACCTCTACTAGGGATTCTTCAAGAAAGCCTGCTCCTTCATCCGTTGGATCTCCCAGGATGGCACTATCGAAGGCCATCACATCTTCAACGTAGATGACCTTCCTCTCGACCATATCAAGACCGTGCGTAAAGCACTTCTGCCTCTTCATGACCATGATCTCAACCGTCCTGGGAACATTGCTGGCACTGTCCGTCGCCGCTGTTGTGATGTTCCTAGGGGAAAGACCCACACTGCCGACTCTGCCGCTGATAAGCTCGACTGAATGAATGACCAATCTGCAACTCGTAGGCTGAATTTGAATTTTGCCGTTTCCCTCTCCACATTTCTCGCGAGTTGCGAGATTCTCCTTTCTCCCTGCATGATCCCTGCCTTTACTCTTCGCGTTTACGGCTCCGGTCACTTAATCTGGAGAGTCATTCGATCATCAGGCTCCCCTCTGTCTGTAAGAGCAGAGGAGCCCAAGAGGCGCCCGATCACAGACTGGACGTTTGAAACTGCCGCTACGGATCAATGTCATCATTGGCCCTATGGCCGAAAGGGGTCTAGGTAATCTTACATCACAACAAAGGCCGGCGGCCTTTTTTTTGAGGGAGAGGGTGAAAACAGCTCAGATTCTACCCGCTGAATCAACGGCGCATGTCTAGGTAACCTTACATCACAACAAAGGCCGGCGGCAGTTTTTTTTGAGGGTAGAGGGCGGAAACAGCCAGCATTCTAGCCGCTGAATCGAAGAGTCACTAGAGAGAATCGGAAATCGGATTGATGTCCGAACTTTGATTTCTTCGGCCCATATATGACGAATACGGAATTCTCTATAGCAAATGACGT